AAGGCTCTGACAGATCAATGCTAGACTGCAGTTTGCGCTGTTTCCAACCCCTGTGTTTACTCTTACCAATGCCACAGGCTCTTTGAATTCCCAGAATGCACTTAAACCCTTGACTCTTTGCCTCCCAGCATCCAATCAGTGCTTAACATCAATGGCTGCTTCGTGAGGGAACTGTTGAGCAAGGATCACAACTTTCTCAGTCATGGTTGGAGGCTTTTTAAACTAATTCTTGTTTAATGCAACAGCTTGTATTTTTATTTATTTTGTTGCCTTTTTGCCCATATAAATAGTCATGTTTGGAACTGTGGGACTGCAAGAGGCTTGTGTTTACTTTGGTTAGCTTTCATAGTGTCTATAATGCTGTATATTATATAAAGGCTGATTTTCATGAGCTACAAAATGTGTGGTAAAAAGGACAAATTAATCAAAGGTGACAGTAAAGACATTTATAAAGTTACAAAAGACTTCTCTTTCAAATAAATGTCATTCTTTTGAACTTTCTAACTCTAAAAAAATGATCATGGTCTGCACAAAAGTATTGAGCTGCACAACTGCTTTTAACATTGATAAGTAATGTTACTTTAGCACCAAATCTGCACATTAGAATGACTTCTGAAGGATCATGTGGCACTGAAGACTAGAGAAATGGCTGCTTTGCCATCACATGAATAAATTAAATTATATTTTAAAATAGAAAACAGTTAATTTTTAATATTTTTACAATAATATAGCATTAGAGATTTCTTTCAAAAAAAATTTTTTCAAATCTTACCGACCCAGACTTTTGAGCAGTAGTTTTTCTCTATTACCAGTTACATTGAAGCAAATATATGTGTTGTGTGTATTGTCTTGATTAAAGCTGCAGTCCGTAAATTCTGCCTCTTTGTCGCCATCTCCATTTGAAAACCTGCAATTGCAGCTGTGTGCGGAATTATCTTCCTTGTGTGGGTTGTGCTGCGGCACGGCTCCAGCGCAGATGAATCTAATGTTTTGAGGAGTATGTGTGGCAGTCAGTCACCGCACCGGTGTGGATATTGTACTTTGCACTCACAGATTCTAGCCTACGTCTTGGAATATATGACTCAAATAAGCATTTTCACCGGATATTGTCATTTGAACAAGTAAGTAACAAGTCTGCCACATTTGTTCTGACCAACTGAGGAAAAAAGCATTATAATATATCGCGCTACAATGGTGATTTAATCTAAATTAGCTATCATGGTCTGCACAAAAGTATTGAGCTGCACAACTGCTTTTAACATTGATAAGTAATGTTACTTTAGCACCAAATCAGCACATTAGAATGACTTCTGAAGGATCATGTGGCACTGAAGACTAGAGAAATGGCTGCTTTGCCATCACATGAATAAATTAAATTATATTTTAAAATAGAAAACAGTTAATTTTTAATATTTTTACAATAATATAGCATTAGAGATTTCTTTCAAAAAAATTTTTTTCAAATCTTACCGACCCAGACTTTTGAGCAGTAGTTTTTCTCTATTACCAGTTACATTGAAGCAAATATATGTGTTGTGTGTATTGTCTTGATTAAAGCTGCAGTCCGTAAGTTCTGCCTCTTTGTCGCCATCTCCATTTGAAAACCTGCAATTGCAGCTGTGTGCGGAATTATCTTCCTTGTGTGGGTTGTGCTGCGGCACGGCTCCAGCGCAGATGAATCTAATGTTTTGAGGAGTATGTGTGGCAGTCAGTCACCGCACCGGTGTGGATATTGTACTTTGCACTCACAGATTCTAGCCTACGTCTTGGAATATATGACTCAAATAAGCATTTTCACCGGATATTGTCATTTGAACAAGTAAGTAACAAGTCTGCCACATTTGTTCTGACCAACTGAGGAAAAAAGCATTATAATATATCGCGCTACAATGGTGATTTAATCTAAATTAGCTCATATCACATCAAACCGTGCAAATTATTATTATTGTTATACTTTATTCTCAAATTGTTAACAACATCAGCATTGCGTGACTATGAGTATAGTGTGTATTAGCGAGTAGATTTCAATTTATGTACAGTCTAATCTCTAATTGTTTTACCACTCAAATTTCATATTAAGAAATTCTTTTAACCCAAAAAGCTAATTATGCTTCCTTCGAACTGGTTGTCTTTAAAATACAAATCTTTTGTAATCCCAGGCTATCTGTAATCAGAAGCACATTTAAAACTGGAATATAATTTCATTTCATTCACATGTGTTTCATAAACACATAATCCTTTCTGGATTACAATCCGCCATCAAAATGATACATTTAATTATCCTGGCTGCTGTGAGAAAAGGCTATAAACGATCGGCCACCTGCAGGATCCTCACATGCGATAGCCTAGTAGCCGGTAGGCTTGCCGCGATAGACGGTGTTGACGGTGATACCAGGTGTTAAGCCGCAACACCGGTTACGTCACTTGCCCACCGTGGCACCGACCCCCACTGTCGTTTCGATTTTTTATAGAAATAAAAATCATTTAGTTCAGTAAAAGAATAGACACTACAATTAAAAACTGAACGCGGCTGCTCAATGCAGCGTGCCGAACGACATTCGCATCACAGATCAGATTTAATTTCTCACAAGAAGAGTGAGGTGAGACAGACAAGACGATCGCGGATGATTTAGTTGCAAAAGTGCCTGTTTGGCAGTATTTTGGATTTTGAAAAGCCTGTTGACGTTTGCCGTTTATCTAAGATGATTTTTGGAAGTTTTTTTTAAACATTCGTTTCTTATTTAATTGGTTCCACATTGTTTGCTGATTTTTACTTTATTTAAACCGTGTCATTTATTTATTTTATTTGACATTCGTTTTGCTAATAAACGTTCTACGTTTCTTATTTATTTGGTTATATATTATACATGTTTACTTATTTCCAGTTTTGTATACCTATTAAACTTTATGTAAGTTATTTGTTATTTTATATTAGGCATAGCTTGCCCTATAGCATGGTGTATTTTATTTGTTTTGTTAATAAAAGTTCTTTGTTTTATATATATACGCTAAAGTGAGTTTGACGTTGTATTTTGTTGTTGCATTCAAGCAATTGACGCCAAACTGCCGTTAATTCAAAAGTGAAAGTAAAATGCGCACAGCACTTTTAAGCTATTTAAAAGCGGAGGAAAAGAGGGAAAATTCAAACGAACTAAAAACAATAATTGCTTTACTCCGAAGTGCCGCTATTTTAAAGTTAAAGTAAAATGCGCATACCGCTTTTACAAGCTATTTAAAAGCGAAGGAAAGCGAGGAAAAGAGGGAATGCCCCGCCCCCACGGTGATACCGGTATTACCGGTGTTGTCACACGTCGATTAACCGGTGGGAAAATTTCCTCACCATCACAACCCTAGTAGCCAGGACAACTTCTTTATGTTTACAGAAGTGACGTAATGACGCAGTGGCATGCTTGATTTTCCCGCAAAAACCTACCCGTACCATTTAAATTAGAAAACATTATTATAAGCTTACCGTTGTGAATCGTGCTTAAGTAAGGCGATAGTTTCGAACACTGGCTGGTTATGTACTTGCTCAAATATTGATTTCGGATCTTTTTTAACCAAAAAAAGTTACAGACTGCAGCTTTAAATATACTATATGCACATATGTCTGTGTGCATAACTACAATAATTTATCACATCACTTATTGTGTTGTCACAAAAGTGCAGTCTTCCTAGTTCTTTTTTATAGATGCATACAGTCTGTATTGATTGGCCCATTTTCTTAGTAGTTTTTAACTGTGGAGCTACCACTTAACTGACTTTTTTACTTCTTGTGTTTCTCCATTCTCTCTATGGACTTTGTTTGCATCATTTTAAGATTCTGTTTACCTCCTGCAATAAGCTATTTTAGCAAGTTAAATCCTATTTAAGTGTTTGATTTATTTCTAGCTATTTTTCTCTTAAGAGTCTGTTTGCATCACATCCCTTTATTTCTAGTACATTCTTTATGTTTTAGAAGATTTAAATCTTACAAACATACAGAGACATATCAACATCTGTAGAAACGTCGGCCAAATATGACAGCTGTGTGTGCATGTTCCTCCTCGATTTGTACGATTCCCTCTCAGAATGACCTTTATGTCTGAACTCTACCCCAAGATGTGTAATGCAAGACCCCAAACTCGTACACAGACAGCAGGAGGAGAAAGAAAAACATCCTTTTGGATTGCTACAACCTGTACATCTGACATATTGAATGTAATCTAAACAAATTTGGAACAGGAAATGATGCTGTGGAAACCTAGAGGTCAAATGGATGAAAGATTTAGTTGAGGGGTTCACTGAGAGGATGGAAAATGACCTATTTTATTCCATTTTGTCCAATGAAGACCATTAAATTTCCTCTATAATTTGCTGTAGAGTTTGGGCGTTAGTCATCATAACACATCAGCCTCCTATATTGCGTGTTTTTCCTTTATGGAATATGTCGGGTGGAGAAGTGTGGCGTCTGGCGGAAACTACGCCCTTAACAGACACAATTTCATACGGAAGCAGCTAGTAACCCTTGCCTTCTTAATAAGAGCCATAGATATAAAGTTGTGTGTCTTTATTTTAATCGCTATGACTAACAAAACATTCTCATTGATTGGTCTTATATAAGTGTCTGTAAAACATTGGTCACAAAAGACATACACTTGTGAAAAGCACAGAGAAACCACAACTTTTGTTTATGAGAAGGGACTGGCACGGCTGGGACGGTCATTGTGTACAATTTGCGTAAATATGTGTGTGTATGTGAGTCTGCACTGCTCACATTCTTTTGTATATGAGTGTGTGCATCACTGAGTATGTCTATAGGCTTGTCTCTGAGTGTGGATTGTTTGTGGCCTGCCCTCTCGCTGTGCGCTCTTCCAAGGGGGAAAGTCTTGGACAGAAGCCTACATACAGAACCTCAAACCCAGCCAGTGGCATTCCGACCCTGGCTCTTCCAGGCTCCAGTTAGTTTACATCAGCCTCAGAGGGAGCACACAGCTTCTTAGTGTGCCAGACAAACAGGGATGGCGCTGGGATTATTTTGTGGCATAGAGGATCTGCTGGCCTCTGGAAGTCAGTTAGTGTGGACTGTGGCTGAACAGGTGCTGAGGAGATGCTACAGTGATGGGCTTGTACCCTGTAGGAGGTTCCTGCAGACATGGTGTCATCTGGGAGATGTCTACCAGGTATGAGATGTCTATATGTATGTCATGTACGCTACTATTCAAAGTTTTGGGGTCGTATATATTATTCAATATATTTAGTCGTCAAGGATGCATTAAACGGATCAAAATTGACATTAAAGGTAATGTATAATGTTGCAAATTATTTCTGTTTAAAAATTTGTTTACATATGAATCCTGAAAAAATGCATGTCATTTTCCACTAAAATATTAAGCACAGCACAACTGTTTTTAACATTGATAAGAGCTGTTTCTTGAGCCCCAAATCAGCATTTTAGAATGATTTCTGAAGAATAATGTGACACTAAAGACTGCAGTAATGGCTGCTGAAAATTCAGCTTTGCCATTACAGAAATACATTTCATTTAAAAATATATTAAAATAGAAAACAGTTATTTTAAATTGTACTAAAATTACTGTATTTTTGACCAAATAAATGCAGCCTTGGTGAACATTTCTTTCATTAAAAAAAAAAACTCATACTGACCCCATTCTTTTGAGCAATAGTGTAAATCTAAATTAAAAGGTGTGTCGTCATTTAGGCTACTCACGCTCATGTTGGTCCTGTATGATTTTCTTTCTTCTGTGGAACATAAAAGGATGAATTCAGCGAAATGTAGTAGCTTGTGGATGGAGACCAGGGATTTTCTAGAGTCTAGCTAAACAATGAAAAAAAAGTCTCATAAAAGTAGTCATATGAATTATTCCAAGTCTTGTGAAGCCATGTGATAGCTTACGTGAGAAAACAAACTAAAATGGATTTATTATTCAATTAAACTGTTACTTGACAGCTGCTGTCACCATTCACTTTCAACATATGTAAAACTACTTTTTTTTGCATCATGGAAGATAGAAAGGGATATGGGTTTGGAACAATATGAGGGTGTGTAACTGATGACAGAACTACTCCAGTAGGTGTCTGACAAAACTTGATTTGAGTTTTATTGAGAGTAATTCTATTAAGTCAAAATATGAATGTAATTTGTTCTTTTGGATGTCGTCATAGCACTATCTGCTCAGTTCATTTACTTTTCATGCGTGTAAGCGTCACTGTTTCTCCTCTTATTGTTGTGCTGTGGTCTGTCTGATGGCATTGTTTCTAAGGAATGCTGTTCTAATAACCTTAAACTGGAGTCCTGGATTCAGTAATTCATGGCATCTAATATATAATATATGATGTTAAACATTGATCTGGTTTCTTCAGAAGTCAAGATGAACAAATGCTTGTTGTCCTCACAGAAATCTGAACTAGTAAACAATCATGAGCTTTTCTATATTTTAAAGTTGTATGTGAGTTGTATGTAAAACATTTGGAGAAAGTGTCTAAAGTCTTTGTGGAACCACTTTTTTTTCAAACTCGGTGAAGACATATGTTTATTGACCATGTAGACACTGTGAAAAATGTGTCAGCTTGTAGTACTTTCCATGAATAGGGAGTAAATATGGATGTTTGTTTTTCTTTGTTAACAAATGGTCAGTAAAAGAGGGGCTTCACCGGAAAATGTTGTAATCATTCTTTCTTAGGGGTTCTATATTTAGAAAATAAATTAAAGCTGCCCAGTTACAACAATAATTAGAATCGTTCATTGATTTTGTAATTGTGATTATTAATAAATTAGTAAAATGTACATTAAAATACTACTTTTGTGGGGGACACTGCATGCCATATTCTTTATTTAGGCTAAACATGCAAAGCAAGCTGATTGGTATTTCAGTGCACCCTTAAAATGCAATGCACCCATACTGTCACATAGCAGTTTAGCAAGAGCAAACTGACTGTCAAGTGCACAGACTCTCAGGTGATGTTTCTATAGCACAATATACTGAACACTAATAGTAGTAAAAACAAATCTAGCAAAACCTCATTTGTTAGGACGTTGTATTTACTGTTTGGCTTATGGACTCATTTAATCACTTCAGATTGATCATTGGATTCAATTGCTCAACTGGCAGCTCTTTTTTATATGGTGAAAGTGAATGGATACCATACTGTGGGCTGTGAAGCGTCACAAATGCCCCAAAAGCACAATATGAAACCATAAAAGAGGTCCATACTATTCCAAGTTTGTTAATGATCATGGTCTGAGCCCATATGATGCGTGAGAGAAACTGATCAAAATTTAACTAGAAATGTAATTTCCAATTTTATTTATGTTTCTTTAATCAACTTTATTGGGAGTCACTCCACAGTTGAGTGATATTTATACATCCAGACAGATCTTCTCTCCAGATGTTTTTTTTCTTTTAAGATTTTGACGTAGTTTTAAGACTGGAAGGTCTGAGTCATTTCATCCTTTTGTTTTTCTTGTGAATCACCCTGAGACGGTATTGTTTGTGTAAGATTGGACTTGAAAATCACACTCGCACATTGAGGTTAAAGGTCTTCTGGTCACAGATAAAGCATGACTGAAACTAAGACAAGTTTGGAGCTAGTGGTACTACTAATGGTTTAATACTATTTTTAATTAGCGCTAGTGGTAACTGTGTCCACAAGCATGTGTGTGTGTGTTTTTGGAGAGGGAGTATGGGGCTTTGTTTGAACTCAGAATATAATTCAGGGAGAATGACCCATATGTCAAGAGCATTATACGTCACATGACCCTCTCGTTTTGCATGGTCACTTATTCCCTTCCCCCACAGGCACAACATATATAGGCTTAGTTCACACACAAACACAAATCCATTATGCTTCCATTGTCTTCAGATATTAAAGTATAAAATCATAAGTTTAAATATTCATTATAGATCCCAAACTCTATACTAACTTCTTTGTCTGCATTGATCTGTAACATGAGTTAGCAGACGGATATAACAGCCACTCAGAGATGAGCGTATAGTCTGACAATACACAAAACAAGTGAGATCCCTGCATGAGTAAATCTATACTGGACAAGTAGAAAATACATAAGTGGGTGTTTTTTCAGGGATAAGTGGAGGGCTTTTTAGTGGGGGGTGGCAAGAACGTCTTAGGGGGCAGGGAAGTGATGCTGCATTAGGCTTAAATAATGCTGATGCTGAGTCTAGTGTAAAGCACTTTCAAGAGCATTGTTTTTGGCAAGATAAAGTTCAACTCAAAGCCAGTGAGGCTCGCTGCATTGCTGGTGGAACAGATTTTCCTAATGTATGGTAATCGTTATTGACTGATATGGTATTAAACTAATCCAAATGTAAATATTAAACTCAACATTAAGCTAAGCAAAACACAACTTTGCACATTTGAAATAAATTGTAAAAAAAAAAAAAAAAAAACACCAAGAAGATGTATTGTTATTAGTATGCATGTTCTATGTCATGTTTCATAAAAAGTTTTATTAAAGCATGGTTTTAGTTTAAACATTCATTGGGCTGGGTTATAGTCCTGTAAAAGGGTTTCTATAGTGACTAATCCAAGCTTAGACAATGGAGCCTGTGTAATTAACAACACCAATAATTCTCTCCATTAAGACAGCTTAAATGCAGGTCCTTGTTTTTTATAGTGACTGGCCCTCACATTTTTCTCTCTTATTCAGTAGTAAGCTTAGTATAACTCTTATTTGATCACAGTTACATTTAAGAAATGTTTACTCTTGAAGAAATACCGTACTAAGTATTAATACAATCTAAAATTATATTATATTATATTATATTATAAAAAAATATGAGTCTCAAGAAAGTTGGTGAATTCACATGCAAGTGGCTATTTTTGGTTATTTAATCAACTGTTATCAGTACATGTACTCTGGTGGATCTCATGAAGAGAGAGAGTTTGGTTCTCATTAATTAAGCAGAATTCACACACGCTCCATGTTGAATCCTCAAGCTTATCACCATTTTAATGCATGAAGGAGAAAAGTTAATTGTGTGTATTAATAATTTTGCAATTGATTTAATGCAGTATTAAAAATAAGATGAGAGTGGATTGATTATACATAATTATGGTTATATTATCATGATAAAGCTTATCAGGGGCAGCTTTGAACAGTAAAAAGATTTGCAGTTTGGAATTTCGCATGACTATGATTCTCTCCGATTATATTGAATTCTATTAAGGCTCAGTATATAAAGGGCTTTCAGATGCAGCTGCGCAGCCATTGTGTAAGGAAACATGATGTAAACCGCAAAAAATAAATATAAGCATTGTACCAGACATGGTGAAGAGAACAATTTGTCCTTACAAGTTCAGGTTTACATCAGTTCAAATTTTTCTCAAATTTTTCTTCAAATGAGTCTCTCTCTCTCACTCACTCACACTCTCTCTCTCCCATTCTAAATCAAATGCTTCACCCTAGTTGTACCAGACATGGTGAAGAGAACAATTTGTCCTTACAAGTTCAGGTTTACATCAGTTCAAATTTTTTTAGTCTCTCTCTCTCACTCACTCACACTCTCTCTCTCCCATTCTAAATCAAATGCTTCACCCTAAATAAGTTCATACATAATTAGTAATTTCATTTAATTAATATCTAGGATATATAAAGGTTATGTAAATAATAATAAAATAAGAATTATGTTCATAATTTAGTTTTTCCGCTGACTTTGCTGAATGCTCCTAAAGTCACCCTGCTAAGAGGCTGCTAAGATCACATCTAAATCCAGCTGACTCTACACAGAGATCAGTCTTCCCAGTGGGAAAAACAATCCAATTTATTAACCCAGTATCAGAGGGCACACTCTCCTCACATCATTAGGATAGTGTTTATAAGTAAAGCAGTAGGTTATGATGATGTTTAAATCTGTTATTAGAGGTCATGTAGGAGTATGTTCAAAATATTACACACACACACACACACACACATACAGGGTAAAAAAAAAGTTAAATACACTACTGTTTAAAAGTTTGGGGTTGGTATGATTTTTTTATGTTTTTGAAAGTCTCGTATGCCCACCAATTATGCAGAATTTATTTTTTTAATATATAAAATAAATATATTTTATAAAATATATATAATATAAACTATATAATATATTAATTATAAAAATGTAATTTATTCCTATGATGGCAAAGCTGAATTTTCAGGAACCATTATTCCAGTCTTGAGTCATATGATCTTTCAGAAATCATTCTAATTTCTGATGTGGTGCTAAAGAAACATTTCTTATTAATAATGATGAAAACAGTTGTGCTGTTCATTTAAAATTAAAATATTTTGTAACATTACAAAATGTCACTTTTGATTTACAAATTAATGCATCCGTGGTGATAAAAGTATGAATTTAAAATCCCAAACTTTTAAACAATATATGGTGGTTCATTACCATGTTTTTATGAATTAGTTAAATACAAATATTGAATATTTTAAGACTAACTGGATGTTTGTTTGACTTTGACAGATGGCAGAGGGCCGGCTGTGTCAGGTGCTTCTGCTAGATGACAGGCAGCTAGAACTGCTAGTCCAGGTAAAGCTAACTCACCACACTAACTCATTGACCGACTGACAGATACTGTATGGAGTAAAAATGAATAACACCTGTTTTCTCGAAAACAGCCAAAACTGTTGTCGCGGGATCTCCTGGATCTGGTTTCATCGCATTTTAACCTAAAGGAGAAAGAATACTTTGGAATCTCCTTCATTAATGAGAAGTAAGTTGGTGAAGTGTTTGTTGTCATTGCATAGAAAGTATAGAAATAGTTATGAATTTTTAAAAAATCTTGCTTATTGCTTATTAAGCACTATTTCGCCACTTAATACCAAGACGCTCCTGGGTAGATCTTTAATTATATTAATTTATAGTATGTAATCATTAGCCAGACAACCTCAAATAAGAACTAAACTTCTACTGAACTACTATACGTCTTTATCAAATTGCATGCTTTTGAACAAAAGGTTTAGTTAGGGCTTTAGACGTAATTCTTAAATACTTACTGCTTACTTTGGATTCTTGCCAGTGCTAAGATCCTTTGATCATTCATTCATTCATTCTTTCAGACAAAGCACATACAGGATCATACACAACATGTGAGGTTAAATGTAGTTCTTACAAATCTTTAAAAGGCATTATTATAGCAGATACGTGTTTCTTATGTGAAAGTATTCCATTAAACTTATTGCCGTTCATCAGGGGGCAGACGAACTGGCTTCAACTGGATCGCAGGGTGCTGGACCATGACTTTTCCAAAAAGTGTGGACCTCTTGAGCTCAAATTCCAAGTCAGGTTAGTTCAGATTTACTCATTTGCATGTTCGATGGCTATCCAATAGGGGGAGCCAGCTGCACAGACATGCTGATGCGACTTCAACATGCAAATGCAAGATATGCTTTTAGACCAAGAGGAGAGAAGATTTGGCATTGGGATTGACAATAGTATCTACTCATTCATATCTCTTTTCTCTTCATATGCAATGTTTGTTAGTTTCAGTTAATTATAGGAGTACATTTATGTTCTGCACTGATTGTTGTCGTGTTTTTGTAGGTTTTACATTGAGAGTGTTGCATATCTGAAAGATGCTACCACCGTTGAACTGTTTTTCCGGAATGCTAAGATATCTGTCTACAATGTAAGTGTATTAAAATCATGTCACAGATCAAAACAACTAATACTGTATAATAATGTATTGCAGTGTTGTTTTCTACCACAATTGTCAATTTAACTGTTTTTTTGGTGATGCTTTAAAGAGCTTGGCAGGTGGCTTGCATTAAGTTCTTTTTGATTACAGGCATTTACAGATGACAGCCCTGACACAGCAGGATGCTGTTGGGTTGGCTGGCTCCTCTCTAGCCTCTTTCAACTATAAAAGCTATTATTGAACCACCAAATCTAATTCAGCCTAACACATTTAATAAAGAAAGAAAAGAAGTATGAATTTAACTCACTCTGACAGATTTTCTCATTTTGTGTCTAAATACAGTACAGGTGCATCTCAATAAATTAGAATGTTGTGGAAAAGTTCATCTATTGTAAATCACACAATTTCGAAATCTTGTAGCTACTGCTTTTTAATGCTTTCCACTGTAGCAAAAAAGGTGGGAAATACTAATAATTTGTTACTCGAGCCATTTCAAAGTTTTTGTATGTAATTTTATTTAGCATTTTATTTAGTATTTTGCATTTGCATTTTGCTGTAATATAAAGCTTAATGCTTCAAATGTTTAAAAATTTAACTGTTAAACCCAATAATAAATGTGTATGTGTATATATATATATATATATACATACAGTATGGCCCTTGAGCCAGTTGAGTAGCGCTGAATTGTTATATTGAAAAATACACATACAGTATTGTCCATTTTGCAGCTGTTTACTTTCTATTTAAAGCTAATCATATTTATAAATAAATGTATTGTTAAAGTAATATAATTAGCTTTAAATACAAGTAAATCTTTGCAAGATTGCTAATAGTAATCAGCCATTTGTCTTTGTACGGTAGAATGGTGTGATCCGAGTCCTCACGGGGCGCTGCATATGGCGTGATTGAGTGGTTGAGGGATTTTACCCGCTGCTGTACAGCGACCCCATGTTGACTGATTCAATATCTGCTTTTGTAACTGTCGTACTACAGCCACAAACTTCTATTGTTATTTATTTGAAATTACCCCGGCTCGACCGTGTGGTGAAAACAATTTATTCAAAGTGATAACGTTTGTTTTTATCATTATTTGCTTTCGTGAGACACCAGAGTTAAGTTCTTTTGATGCATGTTGAAACATGAGCGCTGAACCTGCTCCCAGACTGTACCATGTCATCTTGGGGTGGTCCAAGTTATTTCTTGCAGTCATTCCGAATATATTAGTGACTTTTATTGTTTAAAATGCTAGATTATTGTGTTATTGTAATAATCTGTTAGTCGGGTAATGATGCATTGCGTGAGAGGTAGATAAAGTGAATATTGTTGTTTAAAAAAAAAACACCCTGTCTGTTTACAAAGATGGTGTCGTCCACAGTGGAACCTGTGCTGTGTGGAAACGGTTGGTGGGATAAATAGTTCGATTCGGTGTCTACCGAAAGCCGAACGAGTAAAGCGATAGTTTTAACTGCTTCCTTTTTTCTTTTTTTCTTTTTTTACTTACAGGAAAACATTGAAGTGGAGAGTGAGATCGTTTTTAAGTTAGCCGCATACACTGTTCAGGTGAGTGAGAATTTTTAATGCTCTGGTTTAGTTTTGACAGACTCGCTGCGAGTCATTTTCATACGCAATTTGTATCCGAACTGTTTTTAAGCTGCTTTACAACTTAACCGGTTACAACTAACTGTTACATGCGCGCTACCACTGTACGTCCTGTTTTTACGCAAGAATTTGCATTTATCTTTTCGCTGAACTGTAGCAACGTCCCCTCTGTATGTTTGTGTTTGTGCATTGAATGCTTAGGATGCCACTTAAATGTAATGATCAACTTTTCATTAACTGGCAAATGTCTAATGCAAAGTTTAGAGACGTGTGGTCTTGTAGTAAGCCCACTCTGGAGTTAAGCTTCTTACCGCATTGACTCAAGACTCAAGCATGTATAAAAGTTCAGTCTGAATGATTCATCAACACAAGCATTATGTCTCTTTTCATTAGGAGGCATGCGGAGACTACACAAGGTAAGAGAAATCTTAACACATCTTGGTTGGAAGATTGCATTGGATCGGGGTAATCGACCCCTGAAATAAAGATTATTCTAAATGTATAAATACATGCACTATTTAGTAAATTTTTAAAAGTTTGTTTGGCTCTGAATGATTAATAGATATTGTTCAAAATTAGGGCAAAAACGCTGGTAAAAATTTATTTATAAATCGGGGGGAATGTTCTGGTTGTCAAGCGTAATGTAACATACACCTGCCATGACACTTGTTTGTAAGCTTGAGAGAATTGATTGATAGGATCACTGTATGCACTTAAATTTTTTTCTACTTTATTTCCTTTGAGTATGTTTTTTTTTCTTCTTCATCTTGTAATGAAACGTGCTCTAAGATGATGTGAGCTTTGGATCATATGTCTGGGGCAGGACAAAGAAAACAAATTGGTGCATTCAGGTTTGCCTCTGAAGTGTATTTGATTAAAAATTGCACCATACATTACAACATTGTTTCAGAATGCTTAGTTAAATGTCATGTTCTGGGTTTTTATTTTTATTGCTAAAATTAGTGTCCATCCGGCTTGGTGGTGGAATTATGTGTTTGTGTGTTAGAGCCATCTAAAAGCAAGCATTTTAAGTTAATGTTTAGACTGTGTGGCTCAGTGTTTTGTTGTGAATCCAGCCCTAGTTGATCATTTCCAAAGGAACCATTTAATAAGTGAGTAGAACTGGCAGTAAATATATCTGATGTATATGTCCTTGCCTTGGATGTTTCTGGACTTAAACCTTAAAAAGGACTCTTGGCATGTGCATTTTGTGTTAGACAGAGCATAATTCAGCTTAGAGATTTTCGTTGTTTATAAATGTTGCCCACTTTCTAAGCACATCACCGTCATCTTACCAGTAGGTATATTACCTAGTTCCTAGTTCTCCGTTCATAAATTTTCAGGAGGTTTACTCCGAATGATTAGTTATTTTAAGTAATGGAATTCTTTGCCTTCTCTGTTAACATGGACTGATCTTGAGGCAGTGAATGGGATGCATAGGGATAAAGCTATATGTTAACACAAAAACAAATATAAGGGAGAATTGCTCAGAAAGGTTCAGCATGTGTTGGTCACTCTTTCTCAATAGCCTTGCAGTTCATTATTGGAAAACAAAGCTTGTCCACTATTGGGAACAGAGATGTGTGTTAACAGTCCCTTTTACTCTGAAAATGTTTACCTTGCAACAACGACTGCTTTTGTTTAGCAGTGGGGAACTTGTTAAAGACCGTGTAAAATGGCTCGACAAGCTTTGTTTTCTTTCTGTGTTGATTTGTTTTTGTCAAAAGGGACGTATTGAAAGGGTTTTGTGAAAAAATGGAAGGTTAGAGTACACAGGTGGCATATTGGGCTACTTTCACTCTGGCCTTTTACATCTACTGTATGTCTGGTACTACAACAGGAAGTGGCACACTGGTGCAGCTCTTTTTTCCGTGGAATCGTGTTGATCTCACATGATGTGCATGGTTGATTATATGACAATGAGTTACAGATGTACATTTCATTGTGTGTGTGTTTTAAATAAATTATATTTCAATAACGATATAATAAATGCATATAAAGAGAGAGAATATGCTAAATATCGTACAGCACCGTTCGCTGTTCCACTGTTTGAGTCAGAGATTTTGGGTCCGTTTTTTTTTTCATTTCTAAGAAATAATGCTAATTAAATTGAAAAAAGCTGACTATTTTAATATTCCAAAAGATTTCTATTTCAAATTAATTCTGTTCTTTTGAACTTTCTATTCATCAAAGAAGCCTGGAAAAAAATTGTGATGTTTTTGCATTTTAGATTAGAGATTCAGATTAGATTTTTCTGATGGATCATGTGACATTGAAGACTGGAGTAATGGCTGATAAAAAAAAAAATCAGCTTTGCCATCACAGTAATAAATTATATTTTAAAATATATCAGTGTTTCCCATAGACTTACACTCTATGTGTGCCGGTACTTCCCCTGGGGGAAATATATATGTATATTTATAAAATGTAAATATAAAACAGCAGACGGGCTTATTGAAAGTGCAAATTCATTCTCTGCCAGCAGGAGGCACTTTTGGAGTGGCAGAAATGGCGGTTTCCCCGGTAACGGCTGTAATCAAAGCAGCGCTGTTCTCATAAACGCTACCTTATCAGGCATTATAGGAAAGATTAAATGAAAATGACATCAAAATTGTACTGAAGACAATCGGTTCCCTGATACATTTATATAAAAACACACATGCGGCATTTTGATTTTGAAACGTGCAGTGCTCATGTTTATTCCAAGTCAAAGCCATTTGGAAAATCTATTTGTAGTGGTCAGTGTTGATACTGTGGCGGGCCGCCACAAACATATCAATGTATGGGAAACACTGTGTATTAAAATAGAACATTTTAAATTGTAATGATATTTGACACAGTATTATTGTTTTTAATGTATTTTTTGATCAAATAAATTGCCTTGGTGAGACTTTTCAAAAACATTTAAAAAATGTTACTGAACCCATACTTTTGAAACTGTAGTGAATGCCTAGTTTTTTTAGTTTTTGGTTAAAGATTGGTGGGTCATGCGAGTGCAATTTTATAGCTGATATTCGCTTTACTCTTTGCTGGCAAATAATTATGCAGTGCAGTCGAGCAGTTCTGGTAGAAGGCAGCGTATCATTACTGATAGCGTCCTTTTATAGTTTAAGTGGGCTTAGGATACAGCAAGCCTTCAGACCTTCTCTTCCTCTGGTTTCTGTTATTTCCATGTGGATGAAGGCTCCCAGATCTCATAAAGCCTGAGGGAGGAGGCCCAGGGCTTTAAGTTTATGTAGGACGTTAGAAGACCCACACCTCTCTATAAATGTCCTCCTCCTCCTCTCCACTGTTAAGACTGCGTAGATGTTAGAGGAGAGGGAGTGGAGACATCTCCCGTTGGCAGACGATAGGGCGTCATGCAGGATGCTGATGTCATCTGTCTGCAGTTTATGTCAGGAGCAACCAAGTAGAGGTCTGCGCGGGACTGTTTTTTTTAGTCCCGCTCCCGCAAGGTTCTATTCCGCACCCACCCGCTCCCGCTATATATTCACTCTTTGTTCACCCGCTGTCCGCTTAGAAGCTTAGAATAATTTTCTTTCTGACCTGACCGTTCCCGCTAAATTTAGATCTCGTTTCTAGAATCTCACATTTAAATTTCCGCTACTGACAGAAAGAGAGAGAGGCTGACAAATAAAAGTGTAGTCTGCACAAAATTGTATGTTATTTTATTCGTCTTGTCAAGAGTCTTGAATTTATTGACTTTGACTTGAATTTATATGAATTATCTTAAGACACAAAATTTGTTTAATATTTTTTGCAGCACAGTAGGAAAATAAAAATGTACAAAATTGTATTTCTTATTTTTATTCGTCTTGTCAGGATACAATTCGTTTAACATTGACAACACAATAGGGAAAAAGTGACGCAGAGAGAAAAAAAAAAGTAGGTTGTACAAAAATAGCCTATTCGTCTTGTCAAAACACTAAATTAGTTTGACATTTTTCTGTTAACACAGTAGGAAAAGTGTTACAGAGAAAAATAAATAATTACGACATCTTTCATTTAAAATGATAGGCTAAGCAAAATATAAACAAAACCGAGTTGAACGTCCTTCAAGGACATGCGCATCCACACTTTGCTCGTTATTCTGCTGTCACTCATCGACAACCTGCCTGTTCTGTCTGAGGGCCGTATATTTACCCCAGGTACAGCCTGCTCTGAGCATCGTTATGCACATGCTGCGCACAGACCACGCAAATGAAACGCGTGACGTTTAAAGCATGCGTGCGGCGCGTGCATAACAGTCCTGAGCGCAAGCTGTACCGGTGGTCAATAAGAATAAAGCGCAGATATGCTGTTCTAAATGGACGTCGGGAACGGGATATTATTAGACCGCCCGCTCCCGTTCAAATTACACCAGAGTTACCGACCGCTACCGCGTTTTATTCGGGAATTTAATCCCACGGCGCAAAAAAGCCGCGGGAATGCAGACCTCTACAACCAAGCGAGAGTTCTCCTAGAAGATCACCCTCCATATGTCCTAGTCCTATAGAGAGAATATAGAAAGTTCAGGAATTGATTCCACTTTTAAAATAAACAGCGAGGACTTTATTAAATACTATTATGATAATACTTGATCTTGTTGAACATGTATTCTAAGCAAAAGTTGCCTTTGGTTCAAGGACGTCGACTTCAAATGACCCATTTCCCACTGATTTCCTTGCAATGAGGGTAGCTGTATTCTTGAAAAAGCTGACACATGGTTCTAACTCCTCCATGCGTTGCTTGTGCTGGGTTAAGCATTTGCCCGCCCTTCCTTGCCAACTGTTTGATAGTACAGACAGCATAATGAATTCCAGATTGCTGACAAGGCATTGCGGTCTCAGGGCACCAGCTTACTGTGTTTTACCACATCATCAACCCAGCCTGCTAGATTTATACCTTCAAACTTATCGTAAATTGCTGAACTACAGAACCAACTGGCTTGGAAAGGGAAATGCGCCAGGGAATATAGTGGTGCTTTGTCAAGCAAGGTATTAATGGGCTGATAAGCAGGGTTAGAAAGGTTTTACATGTTATCAGTTCTGTAACTTGTTTCCTTTTGTTTTCAATTCATTTTCTAAGTATTCTGAATCCATTGTTATGGTTTTACATTGTTTTGCTAAATTAGATCAGTTCTTGCATTTTGTTTTGAGTAATTGCTTCCTGTAAAAGCAATAATGCCCACTGCACCCTCAAGACAGTTTTGGAAAAGATCAGATCAAAGCTTGCTAGAGCAGATCAGATGTCTGGAAGTCCATGACATGAGGGTTTTCAATAACACTGCTGTCCTGTTTTATGAATTCAGGTGTTGTGTCTTTTGGTCCATCATGATGGTGCCAGTTTTTTTGTGTAGTTTTATTGTAGTTCGATGTGTGGCCTCCTAACTCTTGAAGGGATAGTTGACGCAAAAAAATTAAAATTCTGTCATTGTGTACTCACCCTCATGCCATTTCAAACCTGTACGTCTTCCTTTTGTCCATGCAACACCTAAGAAGAAAAGTTTAATAATGCACTAGATGGAGTTTGTCAATGCAATTGCATGCTTTTATTCCACAGAAGAAAGAAATCATACAGCTTTGAAAGAGCATTACTTAGTATTACAAATATTAAGAACTATTACTTTTAACATGTTTTGTAATTGAATAGCACTTTGCTCTACCTGTATATTCAGGTCACAAACTTTGACATTGAAGTATATCATAATCTCTCCACTGAGATAAGATGCTATTAGCTCAAGTACTACATCATCCCTAACTTCAGCTTGAATTTGTAACCTTACATGGGAAAGTTCAGTTTTACATCTAATCTTTATATATAGGCTCTGAGTGACTATAAAAAGTCAAGCCAAGATTTTCGTAGTTGCAGAATTGAAAAAAATGCACATCTCACAATATGTAATTTAAACACTGATTGGTTTTAAGTGTAAGAGTTGAGGTGGGAGCCCATTTGTCTAAAAAGGAATTTTGAAGCAGAATGATAAAAGATAAAAACCAGTGTGCTGACTGTGCTTTACAAACATCACGAAGCTCTTAGAAGAAAATATTCAAACATCGGTCTATCAGTGTCATCACTTGTCACCTGAGAGTTTTGTTTCAAAAGAATGATATCTGCTCTCTTCAAACAAACATTGTTATCTCTTAAATCACATTTATACATTAGACCAGTGGTCACCAACGTGGTGCCCATGGGCACCTGGTAGCCCACATGGAGTCTCTGAGTCGCCCGCCAAGCACGTTCTATAAATAGCCTAAATTAGCGTTGAGCGATAAATGATATCATATCGAGATTATGATCAAATTTATGCTAATAATGATGATACGCTCTGGACAATTTTACTCAATATGGATTAATCTAACATCCTATCACACAACAGAAATAAATGTTACAACAACCAGTCGCTAATAAGTCTGCATGTTCTGTGTGAATGCGTGGAGTAGTTTAATCTGATACACAAACTCAAACACACGTGACTCGCGGTGTTTTCAGCGTCTGCGTCTCACTATATGAGGACATGAACACATGCACTTCATCTTCAGAGCTGCTCTGAGAGTCACTTCACCAGCTTTATGCAGTTTCGTTTGGGAAAAAATACCGTCAAATACACACTGAAACAAAAACTATAACTGAAAGACCTTCACAACAAACCGTCAAAATAAAAGTCTGGTTTAACTTGAAATTATATGACTGAATATATTACTACTGTATACTACAATGCAATTCTCAAAGTAATGATAATATTATTATTTTTAAGGAATATCATACAACCAAGTTATTTTTTATTATTATTAATTTATACAGTTCTGTTGTGCAACATCATGTCTGATTAAAAAAAAAAAGCAATGTTTTGTTGTAAATTGATTTTCATTTGATTACATTTTAAAAGATGAATTAAATTGTTAAAGTTTTATTAATTCATTTCACTAGACACCATTTTGTTATGATAAATTTGTACTGAATCATAAAACACGGAATCCATAAGAAATCAAATGGAAAACAGAATTTAGGGAAAAATAAAATGCATTTTTGCATAAAATTCAAGATATTAGAGAGAGAGAAAAAAAAATATATATATATATGTATGTATGCATGTATGTATTGGAGTATATCAAACAAATAGCCCTTGAGACTATTTTATCCCTTCAGGGAGACCCCTGCATTAGAATTTATATAAGAACACATTATATTCTTTTAGCCTAGGTTTGCTACATCATTTTGAAAATATGTAAAGTTTCAAGGAGATATTAAAAAACATTGAATCAAAATGAAACAATTTGTTAATTAAAAAATATCTGTTATTTCAGTGTTTTAAGTAACTGTGCTTGACTGTTAATAATCTTTTTTTTAATCTGACAGTGTATTAGCTTCTAATGCTAATGTCTTTGTCATACTGATGTGGTATTTAAAGGTTGTGTTTTGGAAAATATGTTTAAGAAGGTGTTAAATTGTCAGTAAACCTCTCAGGCCTCACTTTTAATGCCTAAAAAGGACATTGTTTCAAAGATTTTAAACATGAAATGTTTAAAAAGACTTGCCTCAACAAAGATTTCTTTAGAATCAGTATATTGCTGGAAGTTATAGTAATGCTATAGCCTATATACTATAATTCTATCTACACTACTGCTGTGTTTAGTTTTTATACACTAGCATATATTTAGCTAGGCCACCCAGTATTTATTTCTGAAGTATTTAATTTTAACATGCTGTTTTTGTTTTAATTTTCAGTGATGAAAGCACAAGATCAGACTTAAAAAAGCTTCCAGCTTTCCCCACTGCGGTATTGAAGGAGCACCCATCATTAGCATTTTGGTAAGACTGCATTTTTGTTTTTGTAGTAAATAAAGGTAGCTTCTGTAATATTTTTGTGTCAAACACAGTATATAGTAGGACATGATGTAGGCAGAAACTTGATTGTATCCATCAGGTTTGGATTGATCTTGCAAAATGGGCTATGATATTATAAGTTAATGTTTTATTGGTCTGTGCAGCCTCGTTTACACCAGCATGAGATTATGTGCATTTATTAAGGAAGTAAATGTGTTCATGTCTTTCATTCAAAACATTATTCAATGTCTAAAACGCAGAAATGATACAGATATTCCATAAGTTTGAATATGTGTGTATTTTTGGACTCTTAAAAAGCTGCACATTTTAGTGTAGCCAGGTGTAATGTGCAAGCTGCAGCCTGTTTATTTCAAACAAACCTTGTTAATTAACTTGCTTGTTAATGATGCCTGCCCTCTGGCTTCTGTAACCCTAGACGTCTAGATGTTGAAGTCTACCACCTTTAAAGGATTGCTGTGGCAGCTTTAATCAATGCCTATTGAGTGTGGGGAGCAAAGACAGTAAACCAGTTAACAGACAGCAATTATTGAAGTGTGTGAGTGGGAATGAGTATGTGAGGAAACAGCTGTGCGTTAGTGCAAGTGTTTAAGAGACAGCTGTGCGAGTGCATGCAAAAGCAGCTGTGAGTTTATATACATAAAAATTGCCTATATATTGGAATTGTATTGGTGTGCAAATTTCCTGTAATGTTCAATCGACATATTAGTTTCCTTTTTGTTGTTTCCTATTAATAAATGAATACAATGTGTCTGTGTGTTTGAGGAACCAGTTATTAGAATAATTGCCTCAAACTGTTTGTGTGTGTGTGTGATTCACAGGACAGCCAGCCAGATGGCATTTCACACATGGGTGCACCTGGTGTAATATCTGACTAGTTAATAGTCTTGACTAGCCACGTCATTTAAATGGCACATTCACATGTTGGTCTCATGCTCAATTGCTGTTTTGTTGCACTTGTGCGGATGGTAATGCTTCTCTCTCTTGTCCTCTAGTGAAGATAAAGTAATCAAGCATTATAAGAAGCTGAAAGGCCTCAGTCGTGGACAGGCTATCATACGGTAAGCACACGAATCATTTATATGTCTGACATAGACAACCTCAAGGAACGTAGGTACAGGGGCTACAAGTCTGAGCCTGCTTTTCTACCTCTGATAACTGCTCCAGGGTTGTTTGTGGAAAGGCGAAACTGCGTAATTAATTAGACCACATTAATGATAGTGACTGCTTTCAACGGGTCTAGCCACACTTTAGCTCATTGGGAAGAGACAAGGTAATTTCTGTCAACTTGATTTGTGCTGCTGCTTTGATATATTGACATTGTCCCTCACTGTGAAAGCACTGAGAGAAATAAATTGTAGGACTGCTGTCAGTGACCCATTATATTATAGATGATTTACTAGGGTTAAATGTTGTGCATCCTTGACGTTTTTGTCTTTGCTATACTGTTGTTCAACAGGTATCTGACCTTAGTTGAATCCTTGCCCGCATATGGAGTTCATAAAAAAAGCAATGTTTTGTTGTAAATTGATTTTCATTTGATTACATTTTAAAAGATTAATTAAATTGTTAAAGTTTTATTAATTCATTTCACTAGACACCATTTTGTTATGATAAATTTGTACTGAATCATAAAACACGGAATCCATAAGAAATCAAATGGAAAACAGAATTTAGGGAAAAATAAAATGCATTTTTGCATAAAATTCAAGATATTAGAGAGAGAGAAAAAAAAATATATATATATATGTATGTATGCATGTATGTATTGGAGTATATCAAACAAATAGCCCTTGAGACTATTTTATCCCTTCAGGGAGACCCCTGCATTAGAATTTATATAAGAACACATTATATTCTTTTAGCCTAGGTTTGCTACATCATTTTGAAAATATGTAAAGTTTCAAGGAGATATTAAAAAACATTGAATCAAAATGAAACAATTTGTTAATTAAAAAATATCTGTTATTTCAGTGTTTTAAGTAACTGTGCTTGACTGTTAATAATCTTTTTTTTAATCTGACAGTGTATTAGCTTCTAATGCTAATGTCTTTGTCATACTGATGTGGTATTTAAAGGTTGTGTTTTGGAAAATATGTTTAAGAAGGTGTTAAATTGTCAGTAAACCTCTCAGGCCTCACTTTTAATGCCTAAAAAGGACATTGTTTCAAAGATTTTAAACATGAAATGTTTAAAAAGACTTGCCTCAACAAAGATTTCTTTAGAATCAGTATATTGCTGGAAGTTATAGTAATGCTATAGCCTATATACTATAATTCTATCTACACTACTGCTGTGTTTAGTTTTTATACACTAGCATATATTTAGCTAGGCCACCCAGTATTTATTTCTGAAGTATTTAATTTTAACATGCTGTTTTTGTTTTAATTTTCAGTGATGAAAGCACAAGATCAGACTTAAAAAAGCTTCCAGCTTTCCCCACTGCGGTATTGAAGGAGCACCCATCATTAGCATTTTGGTAAGACTGCATTTTTGTTTTTGTAGTAAATAAAGGTAGCTTCTGTAATATTTTTGTGTCAAACACAGTATATAGTAGGACATGATGTAGGCAGAAACTTGATTGTATCCATCAGGTTTGGATTGATCTTGCAAAATGGGCTATGATATTATAAGTTAATGTTTTATTGGTCTGTGCAGCCTCGTTTACACCAGCATGAGATTATGTGCATTTATTAAGGAAGTAAATGTGTTCATGTCTTTCATTCAAAACATTATTCAATGTCTAAAACGCAGAAATGATACAGATATTCCATAAGTTTGAATATGTGTGTATTTTTGGACTCTTAAAAAGCTGCACATTTTAGTGTAGCCAGGTGTAATGTGCAAGCTGCAGCCTGTTTATTTCAAACAAACCTTGTTAATTAACTTGCTTGTTAATGATGCCTGCCCTCTGGCTTCTGTAACCCTAGACGTCTAGATGTTGAAGTCTACCACCTTTAAAGGATTGCTGTGGCAGCTTTAATCAATGCCTATTGAGTGTGGGGAGCAAAGACAGTAAACCAGTTAACAGACAGCAATTATTGAAGTGTGTGAGTGGGAATGAGTATGTGAGGAAACAGCTGTGCGTTAGTGCAAGTGTTTAAGAGACAGCTGTGCGAGTGCATGCAAAAGCAGCTGTGAGTTTATATACATAAAAATTGCCTATATATTGGAATTGTATTGGTGTGCAAATTTCCTGTAATGTTCAATCGACATATTAGTTTCCTTTTTGTTGTTTCCTATTAATAAATGAATACAATGTGTCTGTGTGTTTGAGGAACCAGTTATTAGAATAATTGCCTCAAACTGTTTGTGTGTGTGTGTGATTCACAGGACAGCCAGCCAGATGGCATTTCACACATGGGTGCACCTGGTGTAATATCTGACTAGTTAATAGTCTTGACTAGCCACGTCATTTAAATGGCACATTCACATGTTGGTCTCATGCTCAATTGCTGTTTTGTTGCACTTGTGCGGATGGTAATGCTTCTCTCTCTTGTCCTCTAGTGAAGATAAAGTAATCAAGCATTATAAGAAGCTGAAAGGCCTCAGTCGTGGACAGGCTATCATACGGTAAGCACACGAATCATTTATATGTCTGACATAGACAACCTCAAGGAACGTAGGTACAGGGGCTACAAGTCTGAGCCTGCTTTTCTACCTCTGATAACTGCTCCAGGGTTGTTTGTGGAAAGGCGAAACTGCGTAATTAATTAGACCACATTAATGATAGTGACTGCTTTCAACGGGTCTAGCCACACTTTAGCTCATTGGGAAGAGACAAGGTAATTTCTGTCAACTTGATTTGTGCTGCTGCTTTGATATATTGACATTGTCCCTCACTGTGAAAGCACTGAGAGAAATAAATTGTAGGACTGCTGTCAGTGACCCATTATATTATAGATGATTTACTAGGGTTAAATGTTGTGCATCCTTGACGTTTTTGTCTTTGCTATACTGTTGTTCAACAGGTATCTGACCTTAGTTGAATCCTTGCCCGCATATGGAGTTCATTACTACAAAGTGAAGGTGTGTGATTTGATTTATCATGTGATATTTTAGGAAATACAGAACTAGACATGAATACTGAAGCTGCCATAATGAATATGTCCTTTGATTTTTGGTTGGTTAAATAATTAACCACTAGTAAAATGTGTGTGGACTAATTATAATTGTGCTTGGATCATTAGAAATGTCTTTGGGATCAAACAGTGCTGTTAAAATAGCTGCTACTGTATGTGAATGGCTGTGTAGCTTTGATTTCACTACCATTGCCAGACAAAGCAGTAATTGTTTCATTTTCAATAAAATAATCTCATCCCTTTCACAGGACAAACAGGGCATACCGTGGTGGCTGGGGGTTAGCTACAAAGGCATTGGCCAGTACGACCTGCAAGACAAGCTCAAGCCACGAAAGGTGTGCTGTTTTGTTTTGTTTTGTTTAGCAAGTGCTAAAAGTCACAGTGGTGATGGAAAAAATTCTACAGTTCTTTCTAGGTTCACAGTCATAATTTATGGGTGGGTTCATCTGAAATTCTTAATATCACTATTTTAGACCACCATGGAAAAAAGTATTTCAAATAATTGCATAGCAGTGTGAGTGCCTGAACAGAAACTGCTGAATAAATTTGCAGAAATGTGTGAAGACTGTGATCAGTGTTTCTCACACAAGTGTACAGTATGGATATTTCACTGGGAAAACAAATTGGAATATAAATGTTTTATTTTCAGAAAGAAATTGAATACTTTATTTCAGCAAGAATGCATTTATAAAGTTATGCTGTTCTCTTGAACTTTCTATTCATCAAAGAACCATGAACAAATGTATTGGTTTCCACAATGATATTAAGCTGCACAACTGTTTTCAACATTGATAATAATAAGGAATGTTTCTTGAGCACCACAGCAGCATATTATGTGCTAATGATTGCTGAAAAATCATGTGTCACTGGGGGCTGGAAAAAAATGCTGCTGAATTCAGATTTGCCAAAAGACGAAAAATGTACATTTTAAAAATATATATTAAATTAGGCTGGCCACACACTAGAAGATTTTAAGGCCGAATTTAAGCCAGATTTGTATCCCTGAACGATCGGGGGTGTGGCCCGATTCAAGACTTATCGCAAATTATTTTTTTGTCCAAAAAAATCCTCTATTGTGTGGTGTCATTTACGATTATTTATCTGCTCCAGATCGAGACGGAGCGTCCCGGAACGCCCGTCCCGGAACGCAAAATGTTTGATATTTACGACTCTTGATCGGGCTGCCTCTGACGTGATACCCGTGGTAGCCAATGAGAGCGAGCAAGCATCACCTACCAGATGTTGTGTGCTTCTATAGCTGAAATTTGGCATCCACAAAAATGCCACGAAAGCAGAATACATCACCCATATTCTTTTTTTTATACTTTGTTTTTCACTGTGAAACAGAACACGCACTGGGAAAGCCAGCTAACAACGTTGATTGTTCTTCATTTGTTTTTCTTCTGTAGTCACGTTTGATCTCGCGAGTCTCCGTGAGATCTCGTGTCACTGTGAAATTGTTCCTGCAATCATCAAGTGTGGGGTCTAGTGGTATGGTCGAATCATCTAGTGTGTGTGTTCAGAGGATTATAAGGCTAAAAATCTGTTGAAAATATCTTCATGTGGTCTCCCATGGTTTTAAAATCAGTTAAGATTTGAAAATTGTCTAGGGTGTGGCCAGCCTTAGAAAGTTTTTAAATTGTTATGCTACATATATCACAATTACTGCTTTTACTCTTTATTTGATCAAATATATGCAGCCTTGGGTGAGAATAAGAGACTTTTTTCAAAGAACATTTAAACAAATCTCACAATTCCCAACCTTTTAAACGGTAGTGTACAATTCTTCTTGTGGATATAGTGTGCTGGCTACCAAGTGCCTAAGAATCTTTCAAATATCTTTCACATTTGATGACTATAAGCTAGGGCTGAACGATTAATTGCATTTGCGATAATATCGCGATATGAAAAGACTGCCAAAGAGGCTGCGATTACACTCGGTCACGTGAGAGTAAAGAGGTGTGTTCGACTTGAAGATCGATCGGTGTATGACATCAAAAGTACGGCGAGAGAAAGCATAAGGAGACGTCCGCTCTCTTATAGCTCTCGCAGTACTTTGATCACGCACACGATCGGTCTAAGCAGCGCTGATTCAAGTCAAACACATCAGCAGAAAAAGAAAATAAATAAAACAGCCAATGGACGCAACTTAGAATGGGAGATGGATCAGTTTGTGAAAGGGAAGAGAAAAGCCATAGATGAAGTCGCACAGACCCAGGCAGGTGCTGGTCATTTAAAAGCTAAATGCAGAAAATATGACGAGGCATATCTTGCTCTCGGCTTCACTCACCGTGTCTATACCGGACGCTACAGTTGACACGTCGCACCGCAACAGCTCGACACTGTACGCGACAAAGCGACCGTTGCAAATTATTTAACTTTGTGTCAGTACGTCATAAATAGAACGAGGCATCAGTTTAATGTCGGGTTTTGTCGTGTCGCATCGCGCCACACCGAATCTAGTGTAGACAGCGTCACTGTTTATGGTTCTACTGTATTTTGCCGCTCGCGTTTGGTGTAGACACTGTGTTTAATGTCTGTGGTGAGGAGGAAAGCCTGTGTGTGTCCTATGCCTTAGCGGACAGCATGAAACCCACAATAAATAAATAACAGAATAATAATAATAACAGTTATTCTCTCTATGCTATTTTTCAATGTTTCAAGTGATGCAGGTGTTTTTTCCCTGTAGGTTTTTGAAATTAAAAAAGCATTCATTTTTCATAATGTTTATGAAAATGTTTAGTGAAATTATTTGGCGTGACCAAAAAAGTTTGAGAACCACTGGTCTAAAGTTAACAGACTTTAAAAAGTGCAGTCCACATGTTTACATATGTTTATTACAGTGACTTTGAATTACCTAAAGTAGTGTGGTAAAGCAACAAATGTGTTTTTATATTTCTGCAATCTACTTTAGTTTGTGTGATTTGTTACTGGCTTTCATATTAATTTTTACACCAGGCTTATTTGTTAGTGCTTTATGTTGTCACAATTATTACATGCTTACAAGGTTGGAAGTTCAGCAAATCAGTCAATATACTGTGATTGTAGTTGTTAAATAAAAATGTCATTCATATCAATTCATGCATCACCTAATTTCATCATAACATATAGACCTGGCCTACAGAAAATAACATTTATGTTTAATCTATCTAATATTGTGTTGGTCATATTATACAATGATTTATAGCTTGTCTTTGTTGAATAATACAGAACATAAAGAGCTTTAAAAAATAATTGCATATTAAATCGCAATCGCAATATTGATAAAAAAAAATCGCAATTAGATTTTCCAAAATCGTTCAGCCCTACTATAAGCTGTAAAATCCAGTTCTTTGTTCTTAGAAGCAGACATTGCGTTAACCCAGTACCTGTGAACACAACAGTATTGGTGTGCCTCTTCTGTAGATATTTCTTATCGATAATTTTCTGGTAATTGACATTTTTAATGAACATGCTCATTTATCACGTTTTTTTTATCACATGTCTGTTCCATGAGAGATTAGTAACCATTGCTCTTTTTTTATGAGGAGAGCTTCTATATTTCACCCCAACCTCACTCATTAAAGTGTCTGTTAATTGGCATCCATTACACCAGTGCTTTGTAGGACGCAGCTGGGTGTGTATGTATATTCAACCCTGTTCCAGAGTGTTAATGGGCATGTCCCACTCTGAAACCCTGCTGCATGGCAGTAATGGACACCAGCCCCTCCCTGTAGAGGGTGTAATTATGGAGCTTCATGGGGAACAGCGCTGGGCGGCAGGGTGATGTCTGAATGGGGATTGGCTCTGTTGATGGAGCCCCAGTCAGCTCTTCTACTGGCAAAGGCATCTACGGGGTGTTACGGGAGTAAACATCCTTTTTATTTCTCCTTTTGTCTTAACAAAAAGGTAATGTGGTGGCACCATAGTAGTGTTGCTATCACATAGTATCACCAGAGTACATTGATATACATATATATTCACAATTTTTCAAGGTACCTTGTCCAAAAAAAGGTAATACATTTGGTTATCTTCTCTCCCATTCCCTCCCTCTCCTTTTTGTGTCTTTTCCCACTCGAATGAGTGTTTTAACACTCTTTTTAAAGGTACACTTGGCCCTGTCAGAGTGCAACCCATCATCTGGCCAGTATTGATTGTGCTTCCTGCCAAAGAGGGCAGTCTTTGTGTCCACCCGCCCCCCAATCTTCTTCCAGAACACCAAGCTCATTATGCAAATCTGACCCTCATTGTGCATTTCACTCAGCCCTGACAATTGATCAAGCAATAAAACACAATTAGCTTAGCAGGGGGCAAGAGGAGAGCGAGGGGTCTCGCGGCTATAACTCCTCCACATGCAAGAGCTGTTGGGGGTCTGTGGTATTAAAAGCTCTGAAACTTTTTGTCTGAACTTTCCCGGGCTCTGAACTGATGCCCTATCAAAGAAGTAAATGAAGTGTATTTTGTATGATTCCTGATAAAGATAAATTTGAAATATAAAAACTCCTGTCATTAGTTTGTCCCCAGTTTTAGTATAGGAAAGTTGCTAAAAGATCAGACACAGGCAGATGACAGTTCATTCATTTTTATTGTTTACATTGTGTTTATACTGCTCTTGTGTGTTAGCCTATATCATTGGGTCGTCCTGTAAAGCAGGGATTTTCAAACATTTTGATGCAAAGGAAATATGATCTCTCCTTGCAAGGGACCACCTTGCCAAAAAATAAAGATGGCAATATAGTTACAAGTGTCACAACCCATTTAGATTATGTGGGGAAAAATGTGTGATATTTCTAACGATAACTTGTTTGCAAAATTAAGTCAATAAAAATGTAAAAAAAAGGTGCACTAAAGCCAAAGAAAATTAATAAAGTATTATATGGAAAATACTGACTTTATATTATACTGACCATGTATTAAAAACCACTCTGAAGATCCTAACAACCGTATAGCAACACCCCAGCAAGGTGGTGAGGTTTGCGTATGCAAACACCACTCACATTTCTTTCTAATCTGTTTTTACTATTTATTTGTGGTTACCTCCAGAGGGATTTTGTCTGTATGAGTGTCTTGTGTCTGAGAGAGGGTGATGCAGAATATGACAATTGCGTCTGGATTGCTCATATTTGATCACGTGTATTGGTGGTGTCTGGTGTGGCTTCTGTTATACTTACATTTTTATGCCTTACCTTCTGAAGAGTTATTCTCTTTCACTTAAATCTGTGCTTTCATTTAAGTTTAATGTTTTGTGGTAAAGTTCACAGTCAGTGTGACAGTCCAGCTCATACAAGTTGCAGTTCCAGTAATTTTGGTTATAGAATGCAGTTATCACTCTCATCATATATCTGTGTGTTTGTATATCTATATCTACCACTCCAAAAAAGGACTGATAACCATATTCCGCTACTGTGTGAACGCAGCCAGTCTTGAAGATCTAGTGACGCATCTTGAGGGTGTGTTCATATTCGCAACATATTTCTGCACTGCATCATCATTAGCCCAGTGACATGAAAGACTTTAAGGTGTGTAGGATTATAAAATACTACTTTCACACATCCAGATTAAGCATGAGCTGCTTTTTAGATTAGTGTAAATTGAATCCACTAGTATCGATACTAGTGCTAAACAAATTGGTATCAAATGCGACAATTACATCAGGATCAGTGATACCTAAAAAATACATTATGAAGGGTTTGGGTCAGCATGTTTGCCAGTCATTTTTTTTATTATTAATTAGTATTTTAATTTATTTTTGTTTAGCTTAATTATCTATTTTTATTGTTTTACTTGAATTGAATTTTGTTTTAATTCTTAACATATGCAGACTTCCTAGATTTGCTTGACTGTGTTGAAGATTGTTCCCATTGTCTTTTCATTTGTATGCTCTCTCATTTGCCCTCAGACTTATCTTGTTATCAGTCATTTAATTGTCTAAAAGAATTATGCTGAAAAGCTCATCTCGCTCAGCTTTTTAAACTGCTGCCGTTTGTAGATTGTTGAGAATGCTTTTATTGTTCCCAGTCCTGGTTTTAAATTAGCTGATTTTGCACAATTTCAGAGTCATAAGAAATACATTATAATGTGTTATCACATGTTCTGGTAATAAGATAATGGCTTGACAAAAAAAGTAATGTTTTTGGGTCAATTGTGTTTATACTGCTAATTTTGAGTGATCAGTACCACCTTTGGACTTATAACATATAAAGTAGTATATATTTTTAGTTATTTTGTCTAATGTCAAAGAAAGGTCAGGGAACTTTAATGTTGTTGTCAGATAGTGAGTCATGATATGAGAGAGGCATGCTGTTTTCACCAGGAGGTGAAGAGTTCTATGAGCAGCCATTAATGATTACAAGAAGTAGTAGATTCCTGGCATATTTGCCTTGGGAAACGTAAGGGAACGAGCATCCAAACCAATGGGTGAAGGATTACGATTCAGACTGTAAAAATGAGACATTGACATTGACATGAGACAAGGAACCTGGATTAATGAATAGCTATAGAAGGGTGTTCATTATGATCAATGCACCAAATCCCCTCCCAAAACGGAACAAGAGGAATAACATACTGTGTGTGTGTATTTCAGAGAGCGTAACCTGTATGTCTGGTTTGACAAGGACAGGAATCGGGTATCAGAGTAAGAGGGTGGTGACTGTAGAGAAAGAATGAAGTTGTGAACGCGAAGGTTTAATTACATGTGTGAGTTGGAGAGTTTCACAGAGGTGATTGCATAGTCGGCAAACGGAAACGGAGAGAGACACTAGTACTTGAAGAGAAGTCAGCTCAAGGTGGGTAATGGCAAAGTGAGGTGCTAGTGATGTCACAGGAAGGGGGCGGGAAGGGGCGGGGCTCAATCGCCTGAAACTCTTGCAACACCTTTTGGTCTCTTCGAAAGCACACAAGAGAGTATTGTTCGAGGAAGCCACAACCCTGTGGGAAACTTTAGATCAGGACTATACTGAACCTGTCCAGCTATCCAGGGACTTTAAAGGCTTACTAACTGAACTGGTAAGGTCCATTTTTTTAAGCTCTCTGAAATTAGAATACGTTGTCATTCATTTTGTTGTTATTGATCATAACTGTCAGAAATATGTCAAGTTTTAATATGCCCTCGGCAGTCAAATATTCTGTGCGATCCACGCTCTGATCATATTGTTCCTGTGTGTATTACTCAGAGCTGCATTCGAGCAGTACCTGGTGGGAAGCGTTTATTAACATTCCTGGCAAATCCTCACCCCCGCACGCTGATAGTAGTTGGATATTGTACTTACCCTGCCCTAAGCTGGGAAGATCTATGATGGAGCGCTGGAATAAAGATCTGAAAGGACAGTTCTCATGAATGGCAGATGTTTTGGCCATGCTTTTACCACAAACCTGTTTTTCAGAGCTCTCCCTTTAGGGCGAATTTGATCATTAGTTGTGAGCTCAGTGGACGCTTTGCTTCTGTAGTGCTTTGATTGTATTGGCTTCATACCCAAAGCAACTGTCTTGTGCTTCCAGCTAAATATATCAATATTCATACTGATGTAGTGATGTTTTTGTGAGCGATTTCAGAGTATAGTGTTTCCAGGAGGGAATTAAAATATATTTTTCTTGGTTTGACAGAGAACGCAAAATTTTTTTTAAATGCTAAAATACAGGGATGTAAATGTTCTCAATGGGTGAATCTCACAAAGAAATGTCTAGATCATAGAAATTAGTGCCAATCCTGTTTGTAAGACTTTTTGTCATTGAGATCACTTTTCGCGTAACAGTGTTCCTAATATAGTTCCTGTCTAACTCATTTCCTTTTTCTTTGTAGCTCTTTCTGTGGAAACAGCTTGAAAACCTGTATTTCCGAGAGAAGAAGTTTGCTGTAGAGGTCAATGACCCTCAGAGGTGAGAGAACAAGATAAATCAGTCACACTTTATTTTAAGGTCCAATTCTCACTATTAACAAACCATTAACTATGACTTTTGCTGCAGTAAGCTCATAATTTGCTGCTTATTAATAGTTAAGGTAAGGTAGTTGTTAATTTTATATATTGGGTAGGATTAGGGATGTAGAATATGATCATGCAGAATGCGCTTTATAAGTACTAATAATCAGCCAGTATGTTAAAAATAGGCATGCTAATAAGCAACTAGTTAATAGTGAGAATTTGTCCTTATACTAAAGTGTTATTAATAAATCTACAATAGGTCATGTCTTGATATACAAACCCAATTCCAAAAAAGTTGGGACACTGTACAAATTGTGAGTAAAAAGGAATGGAATAATTTACAAATCTCATAAACTTATATTTTATTCACAATAGAATATAGATAACATATCAAATGTTGAAAGTGAGACATTTTGAAATGTCACCAGATCTTTCACCCATAGAAAACATGTGGCGCATCATAAAGAGGAAGATGCGACAAAGAAGACCTAAGACAGTTGAGCAACTAGAAGCCTGTATTAGACAAGAATGGGACAACATTCCTATTCCTAAACTTGAGCAACTTGTCTCCTCAGTCCCCAGACGTTTGCAGACTGTTATAAAAAGAAGAGGGGATGCCACACAGTGGTAAACATGGCCTCGTCCCAACTTTTTTGAGATGTGTTGATGCCATGAAATTTAAAATCAACTTATTTTTCCCTTAAAATGATAAATGTTCTCAGTTTAAACATTTGATATGTCATCTATGTTGTATTCTGAATAAAATATTGACATTTGAATCTTCCACATCATTGCATTCTGTTTTTATTCACAATTTGTACAGTGTCCCAACTTTTTTGGAATCGGGTTTGTACATTTTCAATGTTATAAACCTGAATGAAACTGGTTGAAGCACTTAGTGAGCACAGTTTGTGATTTTGCTAAGCATTACTTCTTTACTTGTAGACTATAGGATGTGGCCTTTGAATAGACTAAGTAAATGTTAGCAATGCAAAGCCTTTTGACGTAGCTAAAGTGTTTCCAACGCTGAACTGCAACAGTGAAGCAATCGGTCACTTCACGTTGCAGTAGTAATACAGGTTAGGGTTGCTCTGTAAACAAAGATGATATCCCACAGGACATTGTGCCACAGTGTCACTGACCACCTTTATAGTCAGTCAGTATTATATATCCGGTAACCTTAAAACTGCTTCATGTGGTGACATCTAATTTATTTGGATTTAAAAAGCTATTTAGTTTGAATAAACCTGACTACTTTTTATTGTAATTTTTTATTTTTTTTACTGTTCTATCTTACCATTTATATGATTACTGTTACAGTAACCAATATTTTAATTTCATTGATACAACATAGGATAAAATGCGTTGTTTTGCTTCAGTGTGCACATGTGTTAATCCACAGAAGAACAACTTCTAGACGCACATTTGGTCAATCTAGTCAGGTCATCTACGCGTGGTATGCCAGCCATTCTCTGATCAAAACCATCTGGGTGATGGCCATCAGCCAACACCAGTTCTACCTGGACCGCAAGCAGAGTAAAGTGAGTATATATTTGTGCATCTTTTATTATTATTATTATTATTACTTATAAATTCAGAATTGCACAAATCATTGCTTTGTTTCTAGGCTGAGAGCATGCAAAAGTGATTGAGATGCTGTAATAACCTATTTTTTTACATACCTAAAGGCTAAAATAACTACAGCAAGAAGTTTGGGTGATATTGCCATGGATCTCACAGAGACTGGTGCTCCAAGGAACAGTAAGCTGGTCAGCATGGAGAGTAAAGACAAGCTCATCATGGCCAGCAATGGAAGTTTGGTCTCTTCCAGTAAGACAGCCTGTTTCTCCCATTCCAAGAACAGCTTAATGAGCTCATGTCATTCGTACCGATGTCGTGATTGAGCTTGCTTTTGCTTTCATTTAGATTCTGGAGACAATGAAGTGAATGATGAACAGAAGAAAGAGAAGATTGCAGAACTGAAGAACAAACAGGAGAGCATAAAAGAAATTCTGGCACTCAAGGAAGAAGAGCTGAAGAAAATTTGCCTCCGGGAAGCTGTTAGTGGCTTGTCATATTTCCATATGCTCTTTCAGCTGTGTCAGTTTAAACAGTCATATCTTAAGATTTTCTTTGCTTTCTCTTTTTATTTGATCAGGAGTTGACCGGTGTGTTACCTAAGGAGTATCCTTTGGCACCAGGAGAGAAGCCCCCTACTGTTCGAAGGCGCGTGGGAACTGCTTTCAAATTGGATGACCTTTTCCCTTATGATGCGGTAGGCTGCCTCAATTGCTTTTCTCAGAAATTATGCAAGAACTGCTTGATTTTGTGTACTTTGCTAATTCACCTTTTTTCTTTGCAGGATCCTCATTTAAGAAACCTGGAGAGCTGCTTTGCACTCCAGAAGAAGATTGTGGAGGCAGCGAAAAAACTTGCCTATGAAAATGAGCTCTGTAAAACTGTGAAGAAGAAACGCAGGAGAAACCTTTTGGACGCTACCAAAAAACTCCAGGAGATCGAAATTAAGATTAATGATTACAGAGTGAAGATTGGCAAGGAGCCCACGCAAAGAGCTTCCGTCATCATTGCTGGTGCATATCTGGTTTAATTATTAGTCATCATATATATATATATGTCATCAACACACACGTGTTGGTCAAAATGTGTGTGAACCCTGAAAACATGCATGCTTATACAGTGTAAGCAAACTTGCACTGTGTTGACAGTCAAGGTTTGATGCTTCACTTGTGATGTTTTATGTTATGTAGAGGTAATGGATCATGGCGGCAAGGAAATAATACACGCAGAACTATAATCTCTCTTGTTGTTGCAGATGATGTGAACCTTGACAGCCTTTCTGACTGCTTGAATTTGGAAGATGGTGAGTATTGCTATAAATAATGGAGTATTCTAACAGGGTAGAATTTTATACTGTCACTTTTGGTAAATTGAATGCATCCTTGCTGAATAAAATTTCAAAAGTATTCATCAAACATTTGAACAGTAGTGTATAAATGCCTTTGCTACTTATCTCTGCAGGCTAGACTAGGTGGCTACCCTCTTAATCTTGTTAACTTGTTTTGTCTTAGATGAGCTATCGCAGAGACAACGTTCACGTTCAGTGCAGTATTCTCCACGTCCCAACTCGTCAAACTCCTTCGCTGCATCATACCATTCAGATCACATAGATCACGCCAATGATGACTACCAGGACTGCGGCAGGTGAGAGTCCTGCCAACCACAGCTCTTTGGGATTAAGCTTGAGCACTTCTTACCTTTCCCTGCCTATGGCTGCTGTTTGCTTTTGTGCTGTTGAGCTAGTAGAGACCTGCGAAAAAAGGAATCAGCCGTGCATTCCAGCCTTCCCTTGCCTCGACTTCTTTCTTCACAATCTCCTCTTATCAGCCTCAACTCACAGTGTTAAAAATAGTGCCCCAGGAATAAGTATGTCGCTGCCTAACAGCAAAAACTCCAGCAATAATCACAAAGTGGGGGTGGAAGGGGCATAAGCAGGAAAGCTGCTCTGGAAAATCTCACAGGAACAACGGGCATTAATAGAATTTGCCCGTCAGTGTGGTGGAAGTTCATTGGGGCCAGACGACTGAAATCTGTCTGTAAAATGATATGGGATTCAGTCATTTGCTATTTGTTCCTCAAAAACCATTGCGTTTTTGTATTAGATTTAACTAGGTACAAAGGTGGCATGCTGTGAATATTTTTTGTGTACTTCCTTTGAGGTTTTGTGTGTGGTAAGAACACCACCCATGAAGGAAGTTTGGTTTGATAAAGCATTGTTCTTATCTGTGTTCTAGAATAAATTATGGTGAAGTCCAAGAACCTGTGGCCTATATACACGGAGACGCCTTATCGACACACAGCAGTCCCTACCGTCAACCCTCACGCCAACCCTCTGACTCGCGGAGCATGCCCCCCACCCCTCAACTTCCCCGCAACGCCTACAGCAGCATCCAGCTCAGGTACAGAACACAATCGACCCCTCTTATTCACCCACCCACTAGTGTGACCCTTGAATGACATTTAGTAAGGAATAAACACAGTATTCCAACAATCATGGAAAACATGTAAAGGTCAGGGATTTCCAGGCTTGGAAAAGTCAAAGAAATTTTCTAGTTTTGCTCCATCCTAAAAACCATTAAACCATTAACCTTTAAAAACCACTAAAATATTTTTTTGCCTAGATATGGCTTTTTGTAAGTGTTTGTGTGAAGTAAAATGGCCTACAAACCAATGTGAAACAATTATTGGGTTTCCAGTAATTTGAATTGTTAAAATGTATCAATTCAAATGTGTACTTTCCATCCACTATTTAAATAACAAAGAATGTTTTCACAAATAATTTTCTTCTTCCTGCATGCAGCACTCATTTTCGGCAACGCAGCGGCAGTCTGGAATCTCAGTCACAGTTCGTTACGGAAAGCGAGCCATCCGAGCCCGTCTTCACCATATCTCCTCCTCGTCGTAGCAATAGCACTGAGATACTTGACGATGGTTCCTCCTACACCAGCCAATCCAGTGTGGAGTACTCTGTACCCGGCTGCCATTCCCGTGCTAAAAACCGCCATCGGCGGAGGCAGGGTAACATATACGCCAACACGGGCAGCATGCCTAACCTAGCACAAAACGAGACACGGGGTTATACACCCCAACCTCACCAACAACCAACCACCACAGCCTATTACGTTACCGGATATCCACGGTACATCGAACCTGAGGTGTACCCAAATGGACCGTACATGTACGAGACTGAGATGGAAGGACACTATAATGTTAACCCATCCTACTACAGACATGGCCCTCATGGGAACTATGGCCAGGACGAGATGGATGGTTTGGCTCATAACCTTTATGCCACATTAAGGCCATCAAGGAACCGTCCTCCATCCAGGAATGAGAATATTGTCAAAAACATGCAAAGGGGTGAAGTGGTGGAACACTTGCGTGGTTGGTACAACCGACAGCACAGACAACAAGGGTATGATACCTACAGGGGACCGCAGCAGAACCTGGGCTACAGGACCATGTCATCGAGTTACGTACGCAGTGACAGTACAACTTCCTACTCGACAGGTGAAAACTGTTGCATAAAAATGCTACCTTGCGTTTCCTCATGTTAGAAATTTTTCTGGACTTCTAATGTCAGTCGGTGAACCTCACAATGACACATTGGAACTCAATCAAAAGGAAAAAAATACAGAAATCATGAATAAGGGAAAAAAAGCCTTTTTTGGAGATTCAAGATTACTTTATAATCTTGATTACTTCAAGATTCAAGATTACTTTATTTATCCCTAGGGAAATTTGTCTTGGACATAAAGGCTGCCACATACAAGAATACATAGAATACTTGTATGTGGCAGCCTACAAGAAATTTTGCCTTTATTATGTTTCGGACTGATCAGAGCTGACAGGAAGTGAAGTGGGAGAGAGAGGGGGGTGGGATTAGGAAAGGTCCTCGAGTCGGCATTCAAACTTGGGACGCCTGTAGCACAATGGCATATGTGCATATATATATATACATGTATAAATTCAGTTTTACATCAGAAATTTTCATTACAATTTTGACATGCCATTTATATATTATTACATTTGAAAGTGACTTAATGGGCATCTAAAACTTTTGTTAATCTGCCATAACAGTCAAATATCGGCCATTTAATTACCCAAGCCAGTCTAAAACCTTGAGTGTTTTTTGATGCTGTCTTGAGTAATTTTTCTTCTCTCTTGAACAGTAATGTTATCTGCATGAGGTTCTCCTTCATTAATTTCTTTTTATCTTAATTTCATCGCAGTGGGTTCGGGAAACTGGCACGGTCGACCAGTCATGGCAATGTCAGAGTACGATATGCCTCCCGCACACCATCAGTCCTACGGCTACAACACTGCCCATTACAGCCAACCGTTACACAGCAGGTACAACTCTTCTGTGCTCCATCGTCCTTTACTGATTACCTCATTAGCCTTTATCTGAACCGTCTTAACCAGAGTTACGCACTACCTTCACAATGCCATGCCAAGAAACTCATTACTGCGTTGGGTCTATAGTGTCTCTCTATAAAAAAGGTGAAAAATCTCATAGACCTACATTGAATGAGGGTCCCAATCCATATAACAGAAGCTTGGGTGGGCTTTTTGACTTAGCCAGTAAGCATCCACCAAGAATACCCTGTAAAACACCCTTTATTCTAGATTTTTACTTTTTCAAAGAAAATTCTAGTTTGGATAATTTATAATTTTCTTTTATGATGTTTGCCAAAGTGTACAAAATCTGTCGTTGGGGTGGTACCCTTTCAAAAAGTATTAATATGTACCATTTTGGTTCCAATTTGTACATTTTAGGTACTAATACATGACTGTAAGGTGCTAATATGCACCTTTCAGGGGTAAATTAGGTACAAAGGTGTGCCCTTTGAAAGGGTACCGTCCCAGTAACAGCTTTTGTACCTTTTTCTGAGTGTGTTTAGCTGATATGCTACAGTTGTTTATGGGCATGTTCTAGCTAACAGCTTGCCTGACACCTTGCATCTGGTTAATTCTGCAGGAGTGCTGGTGCGGTACCTGCTCTCACGCTTTGTTCTCCTTTATGACCGTTCTTTCCCTCACAGAGGCTCCAGCTCGCACTCTACACGTGCTTGGCACTACCCCGCCAGCCCTCAGTACTATCCTCCTCATTTCTCCCAAGCTTGCTCTTCCTCCCTCCCTCCTCCTCCTCTTCCTTCTTCCTCCTCTTGCTATCAGATGAAGCAGATGGGTTTGTCCCCGCCTCAAACTGGTGGTGCAAGACATGCAAGAGTTAATAAAGCTTCATTTGCTAAGTGTAGCCCTTGATAGTAAGTAAAGCAGCAGCCGTGTGGGATTGCTCTGTCTGTGCTCAGCGTGATTTGTTGTTTAGTCAGCGTCTCAGGATGTCTGGCTTGTTGTGTGTTGTAAAAGTACTGCATGGCTTCCTTTTAAATGTGCTCGTGTTTCTTCAAGCAACCTTTAAAGGAGTAGTTCACACTTGTGTTCTCACCCTTATATCGTTCCAAACATATGAGTTTCTTCTATAAAAATGCAAATATATAGAGATTGTGTCAAGCATCCATATGTATCCCTAAGACGTTTTCATTTTTATTCCATGTCTTTTGAAGCCATTGTATTCCTCACAAACTTCAATATTTTAAGGGTTTTTAAGAGTCATTAATTAGATTTTTTTTAGTTAGTTTTATCAATTCGGTTTTTTTTTTAAAGAAGGTAAAACTTTTTTCAGCAATGATGCTTTACATTGATCAAAAGTGACAATAAATACATTTATAATGTTAATAGTTCTATTTCGAATGTGCTTTTGAACTTTCCATTCATTAAATAATCCTGAAAAAAATCACAATTTCTACAAAAATATTAAGCAATACAACTGGTTTCAACGTGATGACAAGAAATATTTTTTGAGCACCAAATCAGCATATTAGAATGATTTCTGAAGGAACATATGAGACTGAAGATGGCTGCTGAAAATTAAGATCACGGGAACATTAAAATAAAAACATAGTAATATGTTCCACAGTGTTACAGTTTTTACTCTATCTTTGATCAAATAAATGCAGCCTCGGTGAACATATAGACAGAGAATTTTATATGTATCATTTTATATTTATTATACATGATCAATAATAATATATCAAATGTTACATTTTCTTTATATAGAAACTGATAGCTGATATAATAGATAGAAAATAGCTGATATAATAAATACACAGGAAATTATACAGGACACTTTTGCTGAAAAGTAACCTTATCTAGTTTCCATAACTTCCACATATTAAAAACCAAATGTTTTATGGCAAAAAAACATTATAAAATGCCGGGGGGGAAAAAGATATATGCAACAGCATAAAGGGTGAGTAAATGGCCAGTTTTTTTATTTTTGGGTGAACTATCCCTTTAAGCATCAGCATACATCTAGTGGTCTGTCTCTGTCTAACTGTGTAGTGAGCACACATGAACACTTATCAGTTTGATCTGACTGCTGCTTACCCTTCCTCCCAAACCAGCCCTGAGCCCCATCTGCTGGCTCCGCCTCCTGACCCTGTTATGGACAGATACCCACCAGTGTACAGGTGGATGACTCCGGGCAGGAGAAGCCCGTTGCCAGCACCTTTAGAGGTGCCGGGTGCTGTTGCCAGCGGTTATGACCCGGAATACTTTTACACTAATTGCTAGTGAAACCGACAACACATAAAACATTGGTGAGATGTAAAGGACTCGCATTTGCCTCTATAAATAATGGCGAATCACTCAGGGGTTAACAAAACCACAGTCTTTTCCACAGCACTTTCTAGCGCTTGCTCACTGGTGGTGGGATGGTTGTGTGTTTGCTTCCAAAAAAAGGGTGAGGTCTCGTTTTGAGGGGAAGCATGTGACCCTGCACTGTTTTTGATTGCTGTGTGCAAGTTATGACTAGCATACGTGTGTGTTTTTGTATGGTCTGCTTTAGGTGTATGAATGTTTAACACTGTACAGTAATGTTGTGTCTCACTCAACCTACTTCAAATCTGTGATCAACATGTTTAAACGTATTAATCAAAAAGCATCAGTATGGAAACAAGGCTTGTTTCTTGACCAGATATACTGAATTCCTTAGTATACAATGCTGCAAAACCAGCTGCACAAGGAGTTATTTTTGTAACATTGTGTTTCTTGCAAAACTATTGACCGTGACTCTGGTTTTTAGTATATCTGGTATGTTATGTGCTACTGGGGTTTAAAATGTTCAATAAATCAGCGTATTTGTCCACATTTCTTTTTTTATTATTAAAACATTTTACTCTCTTTTCTATTTGCAGATCCTACATAGATGTGAACCACCATGATTCACACACGAGCAGCCCAATGGACAGCAGTTTTGACTCTGAAGACCAGCAGACGCTCCATTGGCATGAGAACTCTAAACCTGGAACGATAGTGTAGAGAGTGAGAGAAACCGTTCACTCTCATGTGCCTTGTTCTCATCCCATTGGTTATTAAGTTCCAAAGGTAGGAATGTTGCCGGACGAGATCCTTAAAACATGCGTGTGAAGTATATCCTGCTAAGCGACTCGAGAATGGACAATGCATTCTCTCTGTGAACAAACCTATGGGATAGCGCTTTATCTTCAAGACACAGCTGCTGTGGAAACTTTGGATGAAGCTTTTGATGCTGTGGGCAAATTAACTGGATACTTCGCCCCAATACACAGTGTGAGATTGAAGGATATTGCAACATTAATATTTCATCAGGCTCAAGCAAACAATGATATGAAGGATTGAAACCAGATTTTTCTCGTGTGCAAAAACCCTCACCAAAATATTCTACAATGCTTTTTTCACACTTGTATTGTTAGTCGTTTGTGCTGATCTTGACAAACATTTTTTTACAGTGTTTTTGTGTGTTTGTAAAACGAGTGCATGGAACGTGATGGTGCAGCAACAGACTTTTCATTCAGTATTTTCTCAGTCATCAGGTTCAATTTTAATGCATTCACAATAAGTATCCATCCTTTCTGGCTTTGTACTGGGACCGTTTTAATTTGGTTCACAACAGGCAATGCTGTTTTTCTATTCGTGCACAACTAACATTTGTACCAGTCACAAGCAGTGTTTCTGTACTAGTAAATCATGTCTATCAACATGTTACTTTGCATCAGTCAGTGCCAAGTATTCATTTTCTTTTCTAATCCTGTTAAAACGGACTGCAACAACTCTTAATTGTTGAAACATGACTATATGGGAGTATAATTGTTTTTATACTGTCACTAACAATTATCCAGGTACAATAATTATGGCCATTTACTGCACTTTTATACTCTAATGGACTTTGCTCACTCTGAAAGATTGGAAACCGTGACCGAGCGCACAGCATCTCTCTTTCTCTTTAGAAGGGAACTGTATATGTTTGTAAATACTGTAAAAACATTTGATACATTTTTCATCTTTTAGAGAGATTTGTTTTTATCATTTTGAAAGATTTGTTTTTAAAGCATATAATATATAGTTTGGATTTCTCAAGCTGGTTCTTAGTAATTTGTCTAAAAAAAATTCATTGGAATTAAAAGAGAAAACCAACATGTATTGTCTGTATTTTGTCAGAATTGAGCGTGAATGGTTTAGGTTTTTATAATCGAAAATACAACTTTCTAATGGCTTCATAAGGAAATACCACCTGCTGGGATGCAATAAGGAAGTGGCAAGCTTGACTAAGCATGACAGTAAACCACAATTAGGACTATAAATATGACTTTTGTATTATTTAACGTTAATAAGTCAATTTAATGCAATAATGGTTACATTTATACTTTGAACAGACACACAAGAAAAAGCAACTCACAGGCATCAATACAAGTGATTCATTGTATATTTGTCTAATAGTAGCTGAAATATTGAATTAAAGTTCTCGCATACAAAAACATAATCCCTTGTGTTAAAGCTATACACTTCAGACTCTGAATTCTCATGAGAACAAGCAGCTCGTCCTCATGTGTGGAGTTACAGTATAAAACCAGAAAAACGAGTTTTGAGACTCCAGCTAAGAGCACATGAGCCACTCCCCTGAAGATAAGCAATCAGTCATCTGTGTACAGAATGAGCTCACAACACATCATGTGGCTGGCTGGCTTTTTATGCTACACCTTTGATAAATAACCATAATTCATGTATTTATGTTCACACTTGAACTGGTTAGTAGAAAGTAAGTAACATTTAAAATACATTGAAAGAGTCCAAAAATATTTTGATTTGGTCTTGTGAAAAAAAAAAGAATTGTGACCTCTGACCTATAAATTCTAAGCCAGTGTCATTTTCATAAAAATATATTTTCAAAAATATGTAATAGCAAATAAATATACTATAAGACTATATTTCAATCCAAAATATACTGGGGGGGGTCATAGCAGAAAATAACATTTTTGCATAATTTTCTTATTTTTTTACATGAATAAAACGATCATTAATCAATCATGCATACAGTATATATTAAATATATTTAATTTTATTTAAAATATTAAACATTTTAAAATTAGTTTTTTGTACTCAGTTCATGCCTAATTGAATGATTTTCGTTATTGTATTGCAGTAATGTGACTTTTTTCCCCCCCAAAATTGAAATGTGAAGTTTTAATCATGAGAATGATTTCAAAATGCAAAACATTTGAACGTGTCAAACTAATTTTTTCCCTTTTGATTTTAGTGTGGTGTTTCTTTATGACATTCACCCTACAGCTCTTGAAGTGATTGCTTTCCCCTCACATTGCCCTCTGCTCTTGACTCTGAGAATGCGAGAGATACAGAGGCTTTGTTCTGATGAACTGTGGCCTGGGGCTGCTTCTGAAGTATGCTGGGATGTTTGTGCTGCAGCTGTGTCCTTCTGCCTAACCTCCCCTTGCTCTTGTAGCCACCAGCTGTACAAAGACATCAGCCAGGTCATCTGCAGCTGACTCCCAAACCCATGCAAACAATGGCCATCTATTAGTCCTTCATGAACACACACACACACACACACACCATCCTTCCAGTTGTCAAGTGGGTTTGTGGTTATACACCCTACTTAAGCTTCACAGTATATAGACACGCTATTATTGTAATATAATCATCTGTAAATATGTGATTTATTTACCTAATTTTTCCAAACACAATGTCAGTGCATAAATGGGATTGTACAATCCCACAATTGCTCACCTAAAATCACTTTACTCAAGACATTTTGTACTTCACAAACTTTTACCTTTAACAGTTACACTCTTCAGACTTTTTGCATCTTCTGTGTTGCCAAAACACACTCTATTATTCCAGTACCTCAGTGACTTAAGAGAGTGATTTCAAAGTATGCAACAATGGTCACCTTATGCACCTGAAGGTCATTAGACATGAGATCATGTTTAACCTTTAGAGATGGGGAGGGTAGTTTCTGAGTTCCATCATAATCCACTGGATAGGTGTTTTAGGAGGTTTGTTGTAATTGTCTGTTGAACTCTATCGTGGTGCAAAAAAAAAAAAAAAAGGTGTGTGTGTGCGTGCTTAACAATTTATAGTTATTCTCTTACATTTCAGATATTCCTCATTAGCTATTTGCTCAGCATTGTAGAATTCAAAGAGCTTAGATTTGCATCTGTAGTGAAGTTGCTGATTCAGCAGGTTCAGATCTGGAGGAGCGAAGCATGATTTACTGCAGGTAAGTTTGCAGATGTGAGCGGATCTGAAACACCCTGTAATCGACTGCATAGAATAAGAGAGAGGGACAGAATGTGGACCAGATTTGGGAATAAACTACCTTTAAAGTCATACTTCCTCATACATTTTAAAGACTCGTTTTTTGACGCAAGTCCACAAGTTCAGTCGTTCAGTGAGTTTGTAATGAGAGTCAGCTGTTGGCAACTGTTCTAAAGAATTGCTCAGTCACATGCATTGCTTGGTCCACTCAAGTTGATTTGTTCCTCTTTAAAAAGGTTTTACACAAAGAAGTGGATACTTTTGGAAGACATGTTTCAAGTCATGTATACTCACAGGAGATATCATAGCAAGATATCAGTCATATCAGCAGCCTAAGATTGATTTATTTTACATGGATCAGGTTGGGCCAACATGCTGAGATCAATTGACTGACTACTAGTTGCTTTATCTCTGTAAACTCAATGTTTTCAAACACTTTGATTGTGAAATAAATGAATCATGTCTGATTGTGAATATGGCATTTTTTAAGTGACTTCTGCATGATGCTGCTGCATTCAAGCTGCAAGCACAACATGAAACAATTGCTGAGTGCAATTAATTTGATTTCTAAATCAGTATTTGATTAAAATAAAACGCATGATGGTACCAAAATGTGACTTTATTAACACATTCTGCATAGAATTAAGATCATCCACCTTATTTTGAACGGAATAGCAATAGCGGGTGCTGCCATTTAGAAGCTGAATGTGTGAGGCTCCTGGTGTCATTCATGTCCAGTTATTTTACTTGTCAGTCCGTTATGCCACTGCATACTGAAAACATATTTGTTATTATATTATTCTACTTCATCATAATCATAAACACACTGGTTTGTAACACAAAAAGCAAAACTTACTTCCGCAAAACAAGGTTGATAGCTGCATCACAGGAAATTCAACTTGGGAGTTATTTTACCTAATAGGTGACAAGAGCAATAAACCATGTTCCCAGTTGCCACAGAATTCCAGTTATCGCACTGCAGAACATTTGACAATCTCTAAACCTGATGACATCTTGTCATGTTATATTATGAACTGTCTTAATATATGAATAAATGTATTTTGGGAGAGAAAAACACTATCACTTGAAATATGCACATATGACACATTTCCCTACAGGTCATAGAGAAATCTTTGGAAGACGTTTTGAATCGCATCCTCTTACGTTTGACCCGAGACGTAAACAAACATTATAAAACACTCTTATGTTCAATACAATTAGTTCATTCCATAATAATAATAGAAAAAACACTAAGAAAAATACTTTTTGTTTTGTCTATTAAAGATGTTGGAATAAACGGAGTAGTTTTCTGAAACTGTGCCAGATGAAAGCAGTTCCTTCTTGTATGGGAGAGAGGCTCAGTAAAAGTTCACTCCTTGAGTTTGCTCTCTAGAAAGTCTTGAATTTTATTGAGGTTCTCTTCTTGTTGACCCAGTGCTTCAAGTATGATTCCCATGGGCGATTTCTTGAGTCCGGCACTCTCCATCTTATTCTCCAGTTTGTTTTTCATGTTCCGTAGGCGAAGCGATGCATGTGCAAAGATCACTGAAACGCAAAATGACAAAGCACTTTAAGCTTGCAGATGCTTCACGTTGCATGTTAAACGACATAATATCTGGATTTAATAAACTGCTGCTTTGCATTTGTTTTCCTGCAAGCCACAAAGAGTGGTACTGTATTCCATCTAAAAGATTTCCATCTTATGAAAACAATGTTTTTTTTCTCTCTCCTTTCATTTTTAGATTTATGATAATGATGACAATTTTCTTAAGAAACTTACAGAGAAGAGGCAGCTTGATTCCAAGCAGGAGCACCAGAACTCCACCGAAGAGTGACACGAGGAAGTAGCTCACAACCATCACCAAGAACACAAACAGAGTAGGGTTCTCCTCCTTGAATGTTTTGATGATCGCCTTGTTCTCCCCTGCCCATACAGAGCCAATGAAGACCGAAGCGACCACTGCTGCACCCGTGAACATGCTCACAGGGTTCAAGAACCTGCGGACAGAGAATTAGATGGTGATAGGATGTTACTGAAGACAAAATCATAGTGATTATACTACATTTGTGTCTGAAACATATTTTCAATTTATACTTCAATCAATGTCTACTTAGCAGTGTACTCCTTTAAATACTCCCTTAAACTCACTTGAATTTGTTTTAGATCACAACATAGATTTATGAGAATGCAAGCATATGTCAATAGTGACACCTAATGGTTATAAAGTGTAAACACAAAAATATTTTTGAACAAAGGAGACATTTTCCATGTTGGTTCCCTGTTGAAAAAAACAGCATATGCTGGTTAGGTATGTTTTGACGCTGGAATGCTGGTTTAAGATGGTCCTTTGCTGGTTTATGCTGGTCCTTTTGCTGGTCCGTGCTGGTCTGTGTTGGTCTTTTTGCTGGTCTGTGCTGGTCCTTTTGCTGGTCCCTGACCAGCATAAACCTTTTGCTGGTTTGTGCTGGTCCTTTTGCTGGTCCTTGTGCTGGTCCTTTTGCTGGTTTATGCTGGTCCTTTTGCTGGTCCGTGCTGGTCTGTGTTGGTCTTTTTGCTGGTCTGTGCTGGTCCTTTTGCTGGTCCATGACCAGCATAAACCAGCAAAGGACCAGCGTCAAAACATACCTAACCAGCATAGTTTTTTCAACAGGGTTATTATAAAAATGAATAATATTGACAGTTAAATAATAAATCTTGACGTGAAAATAGACATGCGGTTTATGACTGTGATTACACGACTAAATACTGCTCTCGTGCCCTTTGCTCATGCCCAGTGTCATGTGATTACACCCTTAAATATTGTTCAGTCTTAGCAACTAGGTGCTGGTCCTTTTGCTGGTCCATGACCAGCATAAACCAGCAAAGGACCAGCTTAAACCAGCATCCCAGCGTCAAAACATACCTAACCAGCATAGTTTTTTCAACAGGGTTATTATAAAAATGAATAATATTGACAGTTAAATAATAAATCTTGACGTGAAAATAGACATGCGGTTTATGACTGTGATTACACGACTAAATACTGCTCTCGTGCCCTTTGCTCATGCCCAGTGTCATGTGATTACACCCTTAAATATTGTTCAGTCTTAGCAACTAGCTATAATATTAGGGCAAAACCATAATCGCCCAGACATTAGACTGGCCTTCGTCTTACAAACACAGCTGCCCACATACCAACACAACTATGTGTGCCCAGATCAACTAGGCGAACTATCCTCCAACTATATTTAGCTAAGAATTACCTCATGTTCTAAATTGTACAGGACAAAAACTAAGCATTAGAGCGGCTTATTTTCTTCAGTGCAACATGAAATTCTCTTACAAAAAGTGCAGTGCTGATACCAAGTTACAATGATGATGTCAAATGATAATATAAGGTACTGAAATTTGCTGGGACGCATCCAAAAAAAATAAAAAATACAGTATCATAGTACCGTGCTTAAAAACATTTACGTGAATTAGAACTTTATTTACAGTGCATTTAAAGCGTGTTTTATTTGAACAGATATTACTTCTCGCGATACTTTCTGGCATTAGAACGGCTTATTTTCTTCAGTGCAACATGAAATTCTCTTACAAAAAGTGCAGTGCTGATACCAAGTTACAATGATGATGTCAAATGATAATATAAGGTACTGAAATTTGCTGGGACGCATCCAAAAAAAATAAAAAAAATAAAAAATACAGTATCATAGTACCGTGCTTAAAAACATTTACGTGAATTAGAACTTTATTTACAGTGCATTTAAAGCGGTTGTAATGTAAAGCTGACTTTACAGCGTGTTTTATTTGAACAGATATTACTTCTCGCGATACTTTCTGTAATGCGATGTTGGTGTTGACGTGCCCACAACAAATTAGAAATACTATCTGAATATTCTGTTTACAGTTAAATCCCATATTGTGCATGCATGTTCACCAAGAAGACAGAGACTGGACTTACCCTACAATCAGGAATACAATGATTGCCAACACCAGATAGTTTGTTTGATAGTACAGCAGGTTGCTGACCACTCTGTTGTTCCATTTCGCCAGATCTCGCGTGTCTGGTTTGGCGAAGCGCTCTGAGCCTGGGTAGAAATCATCCCAGCTTCTCAAAGGAGCGATCTCCACTTTAGCCATTAAATCAAACTAACCGGATCCCAGCAGCTGCTCGCTGCATAATATGCAACAGTCTATTACGTCCTCACTCTCGCGATGCGCTTTGGCTTTAAATGGGTGGTACCTTTAAATGTAGACAACCCATCAAGTTTGAATATTAAGGACTTGATGCAATCAGAGAGATAATGTTTTTTATTACTCACATATTCCTTACGGCTGGTTTACTGCCTGATTGAATTAACCGGTAACTTACAATTCATAAACGAATCATTCTTTTCAGTCGGATCTTTTAAATGAAACATTTGAACGCTTTCACATTCTAAAGTAATTGAACCGATAACCTAATGACCCTTAGGATTTGATTGATGAGGACAAAAGCGAATTGCTTTAATAGCTGACATTTTTACACATAAAACATAATAAACATATCACAGTTTTATCAGCACGAATACGAAACAAATTCAGTTTTAATGAACAGCATTAAAGCCCAATTTAATTTACAGCCAAGAAATGCAAATAAATGTTAGGATTTCTAAATCCAGCATGCTGGGTGGGAGCCTGAGAGAGCCAATAAGCAATTTTCATTGGTTATTAAAGTCATTACGTAGCTATCCCGGAAGCCACGCCCCTTTTGTGTGAATGTGATGGCTGCGCACAGCCCGAGTGAAACTACCGATGTGCTGAAATAGCATCTATTTTTTAATGCGATGTTGGTGTTGACGTGCCCACAACAAATTAGAAATACTATCTGAATATTCTGTTTACAGTTAAATCCCATATTGTGCATGCATGTTCACCAAGAAGACAGAGACTGGACTTACCCTACAATCAGGAATACAATGATTGCCAACACCAGATAGTTTGTTTGATAGTACAGCAGGTTGCTGACCACTCTGTTGTTCCATTTCGCCAGATCTCGCGTGTCTGGTTTGGCGAAGCGCTCTGAGCCTGGGTAGAAATCATCCCAGCTTCTCAAAGGAGCGATCTCCACTTTAGCCATTAAATCAAACTAACCGGATCCCAGCAGCTGCTCGCTGCATAATATGCAACAGTCTATTACGTCCTCACTCTCGCGATGCGCTTTGGCTTTAAATGGGTGGTACCTTTAAATGTAGACAACCCATCAAGTTTGAATATTAAGGACTTGATGCAATCAGAGAGATAATGTTTTTTATTACTCACATATTCCTTACGGCTGGTTTACTGCCTGATTGAATTAACCGGTAACTTACAATTCATAAACGAATCATTCTTTTCAGTCGGATCTTTTAAATGAAACATTTGAACGCTTTCACATTCTAAAGTAATTGAACCGATAACCTAATGACCCTTAGGATTTGATTGATGAGGACAAAAGCGAATTGCTTTAATAGCTGATATTTTTACACATAAAACATAATAAACATATCACAGTTTTATCAGCACGAATACGAAACAAATTCAGTTTTAATGAACAGCATTAAAGCCCAATTTAATTTACAGCCAAGAAATGCAAATAAATTTCTAAATCCAGCATGCTGGGTGGGAGCCTGAGAGAGCCAATAAGCAGTTTTCATTGGTTATTAAAGTCATTACGTAGCTATCCCGGAAGCCACGCCCCTTTTTTATGAATGTGATGGCTGCGCACAGCCCGAGTGAAACTACCGATGTGCTGAAATAGCATCTATTTTTTTTCCTGAGGTGAATAAATATCTTATTTTTTCCTCACATTTGATACATTTGTTGTTCGTTTTAGTAACTCCAATTATGACCTCACAGTGTCATCTTTGGTAATATCATGTAACGTTAATGTGCTCATTACCTTAGCCTCGAAGAGTCACCTCAAGTCATTAGCTATTTTCTAACCTAACCATTCATATATATTTAAGATTCGGCATTATTTATATGACATGTGAAATTTACAGACACTGACTTTTTATTGTCTTTAAAAAGTTCACCGATGTGGGCTAAATTATTTCTGCGCCCCTCGTTTATCAACCGAGTTCATCATCTCACGTGGAGTCCCAGATCATTAGTCACCATACATATATATAAACACACACACACACACACACCTAATTATATAAGGGTGAATAAGTTATCCTTTAAATTTTACAATATTATTTTTACAAAAACTTTTTTTTTTTCAGTGAATATTATGAAGTATAGCCACTGTATAGCCTATAAATGGCCTATGTGGTTTATCTTAATTTTTTTCTGTCTGATTGCTCTGTAGATTTTATGGGCGGGTGGCAACTGAGCCTGGGCAACATGAACCTGAGACTCTGGAGGCAATAAGAGAGAATGCCAGAGGATTGGCAGGAATCTCAGGTGAGAGGATCTGGGTGGAGCTGAAGAAGATGCTGGTTGGAGACCATGCTGATCACCTGCTGGATCTTGTCTATGAGTTGGGCCTTGCCCAGTACACAGGTGAGAAACAAAACATAGTGATACAAATATTTGTAAGGAACTGTGACTGAAAATCTAAACATACAATGGACAATTACCTGTCAATAATTTTTTTCCCCATCCAAATGTATTATTAAAAATGCATTTAAAAATGCATACATATATATATAAACACACACACACACCTAATTATATAAGGGTGAATAAGTTATCCTTTAAATTTTACAATATTATTTTTACAATAACTTTTTTTTTTTTTTCAGTGAATATTATGAAGTATAGCCACTGTATAGCCTATAAATGGCCTATGTGGTTTATCTTAATTTTTTTCTGTCTGATTGCTCTGTAGATTTTATGGGCGGGTGGCAACTGAGCCTGGGCAACATGAACCCGAGACTCTGGAGGCAATAAGAGAGAATGCCAGAGGATTGGCAGGAATCTCAGGTGAGAGGATCTGGGTGGAGCTGAAGAAGATGCTGGTTGGAGACCATGCTGATCACCTGCTGGATCTTGTCTATGAGTTGGGCCTTGCCCAGTACACAGGTGAGAAACAAAACATAGTGATACAAATATTTGTAAGGAACTGTGACTGAAAATCTAAACATACAATGGACAATTACCTGTCAATAATTTTTTTCCCCATCCAAATGTATTATTAAAAATGCATTTAAAAATGCAATTCATATGGGCAGTTTTCTATGATGAACATGCTTTACATTTCTGAATTAAAGTGAACATTGATATTTTTTGTGGGGCATAAAAATGGTAATGTAACTTTCTGGAGACGTAAAAAGGAAAAAAAAAAGGGGGGGGGGGGTTTATACGGTTCAACTGAGCCTGGGCAACATGAACCCGAGACTCTGGAGGCAATAAGAGAGAATGCCAGAGGATTGGCAGGAATCTCAGGTGAGAGGATCTGGGTGGAGCTGAAGAAGATGCTGGTTGGAGACCATGCTGATCACCTGCTGGATCTTGTCTATGAGTTGGGCCTTGCCCAGTACACAGGTGAGAAACAAAACATAGTGATACAAATATTTGTAAGGAACTGTGGCTGAAAATCTAAACATACAATGGACAATTACCTGTCAATAATTTTTTCCCCATCCAAATGTATTATTAAAAATGCATTTAAAAATGCAATTCATATGGGCAGTTTTCTATGATGAACATGCTTTACATTTCTGAAATAAAAGGAACATTGATATTTTTTGGGCATAAAAATGGTAATGTAACTTTCTGGAGACGTAAAAAGGAAAAAAAAAGGGGGGGGGGATTGCACAGTTTTTTTTCACAATACAGTTTTGTTTTATGAATGTAATGTTTATATATAAGAATATTTTTTTTTTATATTATAAATGTTCAGACTTGCTGTGTATTTTCCTACAGGTCTTCCAGCAGATGGCAATGTTGAGGAGATGAAGCAGATCTGGCAGAAGGCTCATGACTGCTCTCCTAAACCCATGACTATCCTGACTGCTCTGTTCCGAAGCCAGGATGATGTGGAGAAACTGGATCTGCGACTGAAACTATCCAGAGAGGAGAAAAACTTAAGCCTCTTCCTGGTCAAATACAGACGAGATCTCGTAAAGGAACAGGACGAACATGACAGCATGAAACCATACACAGATTTCATCATTGATGTATGTGCATTTCCTTCTGCTCCAATATAGTTCAAAAATGTCATTACATCAGTTGTATTTAAAATTAAGTAAATGTACAACATTTTAATTTAAATTGATTGAATTTCATATATAAAACATCAGGAAGACTCACTTTATCCCCATAATCATTCAAACTGTCATTCCAGTGTTATTTTAGTTTTATTTATGTACTGTTTATTAATATTTTGAATTAGCTTTTATTTTTGCATTTTTTTCAACAGTTTTTTTATTTATTTAAATATGAGTCATTTTATGTATTTTTCTCATTAAATGTTTTTACAAATATTTTTATTTAGCTTTAACTTATTTTTATTTAAAATGTAGTACTTAAAGTACTTTTTAGAACTTCTGAACTTTATTTTAGTAAGCTGCAAATGTAAATGTTTCTATATATTTAATACTATATTCTCTATATATTGTATTTTTTATTTATTAATTAACAATAACAACACAGAATTGTTTTATTTAAATATAATTTTCTTTTTTGTCTTTTTTTCCATTGAAGTCCAGAGAGCCGGACTCCCAGAGTAAAGTCCTGGAGCTGCTGAAATATCAGGGAGAAAAGAAACTCTTAGATGAGCTGAGCAGGTGGTCCATCCCGCGCTTCCCAGTGAGTGGGCATGACTTACGCAAACTGGGTTTTACCTCGGGTAAAGAGATTGGCACCATCCTTCAGGAGCTAAGGGACATGTGGAAGAAGAGCCACTATCAGATGAGCAAAGAGGAACTCCTGGCCACCCTCAGCACATCCTGATGCCAGATAAGCAAACATACTAGTGTCAAAAGTGCTTATTGCATGCATGTACAATAATACATTATGAGTCTGTGTATAGAAGGTGCACCTCCATAGTGTCAGTGGGTAGTGTGAGAAGGAACCATCAGGGCAATGGTATAAATCATTTGGACCTATGCCTTTGCAGATACAGTGCAACCAAAGGTTTAGGTATATCTGTGGTTGCTATCTTGGGATTTTGTCTTGGCTATGGTTTATTGAGATGGTTTTCAGGGTGCAGAAAATGTCTTGGAGCATCAAAGTGCACATTTTCAGATTTAGAATGCTTAACATATGGTCGTTGAACCATGGGCATCATAAACACTCTCTAAAAAGTTTTCTTTTATTAATTATTCATGAATTTCCCTATCTTTTTTTTTTAAATAAATGGGGATTTAGTTTGACATAATATCATATTCATTAATTAATATAATGGTTTTGAACAAGGATGCATCTAAATTAAATGACGCAATGATGCAAAGTTCATTTTGTTTATTTGATGTGGGATTTTGCCCTTTCAGAAGAGTGGTGTAATTATTATAGTGAAGGGAGTAATTTAGCTCTCTTTAAGAGAAGACATCTTGACGCTGTAGCCATGGTTTCATTATGAGGAAAATGATGTTGCTTTTGTCAACAGTTCATAGTTATTAGAAGCCAGGTTATGCAACCATCTCTCCAGGTGTTTACTTTGAAATAAAGTAACCCACATCACGTCGTACAGTGTTGTGCTGTCTTGCTTTAAAGTCCATGTATGTTCAGAGATTACATAAGGATTATTTTTGATATGTTTGTGAATTACTTAATATGATAAGCGTTTCACATTGATATGTTAGGGGTAAGTTGTGTCATAATTTTTTGCATTGATTGTTTTTATACAGTCCCACAGCTTTTTAAGAGTAATTCAATGTCAAAGGGTCAAATTTAAAGGGATAGTTCACCCAAAAATTAAAATTCTTGTCATTATTTACTCACCCTTATGTTATTTTAAAGGGGTCATATGATGCTTTTTAAAGATCATTATTTTGTGTATTTAGTGTAACAGAATATGTTGACATGCTTTAATGTTCAAAAAACACATTATTTTTCAAATACTGTACATTATTGCAGGTTCTCTATGCCCCGCTTCTCTCAAACGCTTCGTTTTCAACAAAGTCCCTCCTTCCGACAAGCGCAGTCTGCTCTGATTGGCCAGCTGACCCAGTGCATTGTGATTGGCCGAACACCGCAAGCACTCGTCAGAAATGTAACGCCCCTTACCATAATCGCAAGCTTCATCTTTCAAAATAAATGTAAAGACAGAGCCCGAAAGGGGAACAGAGTCTTGTGACAGACACAGCGATGAATATGTGTTTGCAGCACACAAGCCACGGTTAAGACGGCTGACTCCACTGTGATGTGTCTCGCTCGCTCTCTCTCGCTCGCGCGCACACACACACACACACAGCTCTCTCTCTTGCTCGCGCACGCACACACACACACACACCGCTCTCTCTCTCTCACGCGCATTTGAACAGTCAATAGCAAATACTTAAACTAATAACAAAACAGTAGCTGATTCAGAAGCGCCAGATTGTCATAGCAAAGGCAGAATTACCTCCTCTCCTAGGTTCACGAAACGGTCGTCCATAAAATGCATTGCTGTTCTGTTGTAAGTAATCTTAAAGATTCCTAAATGCATCTACTTTCGGAAGGCCAAATAAAGTGCTTTTGCTTTCGCCTAGAAACACACAGAGTCTCTCTGACATGGCTGCTTCAACACTAACTGCGGTTACTGAAACCACACCTTCTTTCTTTGCATGCACATTTGGGTGGCATTATGCAAATATTTCCACATAGTGAGGTAGATATGTGGGGGCGTGTTAGAATGAGCTGTTTTAGGTAGGCGTGGTTGACTTAACTTTTATCAAGAATATCTCTTTGGATTTGAGACTTTAGTCTTTGCAACTTTACAGATCTTCTTTATGCACCAAGAGCTTGTAACACTCCAAAGAGAAAGGAAAACTTGAAATCGCATCATATGACCCCTTTAAACCTGTATGACTTATTTCTTTTGTGGAACGAAAAAGATATTTTAAAAAATGTTTCCATGTTTGTGAATTTTTTCTTTCTCTTCTGTCTATAGAATTAAAGTTTGGTTCAATGTTGTAGATTTTATATATACAACTTTTGGTTGAACTATCCAAATAATATAAAAGTATTGGATGGCCTGAGGGTGAGTAAATTATTAATACATTTTCATTATCGGGTGAACTATTCCTTTAATATGACTCCCAAATCATCATTGGTGAATGCACCTGATTGGTTTTAGCCACATAAATAATTCAATGGAGATATCCTATGTTGGCTACATTATAAATACATTTCTATCTGGAATGTCCAGAGTAAATATTTATTAAGCAAAATTGCCAAAGGGTGAATGTCTTTGTATAAAACATATAATCCATCTTCTGAGCATGTGGGTTTCTGAATGCCATATTGTGTTCACGAGTAGGCCTATTTGTGAATGAAAGACCCTCCCACATCCACCAGAGCAACATATAAAACCTACACGCTAAAGATGCGCAGACGCGTGACTACTGACAGTCTCGTGCGCACTGGGTCAGTGAAACGGCACCTACTAAACCTGAACTAGTTTAAAACTCTCGAGATATGAAGAAAATGCCTGTCCTTACGTTAAACTTGAGCGATGCAACTTTGGAGATGGAAGCCACCGGAGATGAACCCCGGGACCAGCGTTTAGCTCAAATCGAAATCGCGCTGCTGAGCGTCATCTTTCTTTGCGCATCATTTCTGAACTTTGGTCTGCTTCTAGTTTTGTGGAAGAAAAGACAGCAGATGTCCAGGATGCGCGTGTTTGTGAGCCACCTCTGCTTGGCGGACCTGGTGGTCGCCTTTTTCCAGGTGTGTCCACAGCTGATGTGGGACATAACCGACCGCTTCATCGGTCCTGACCTCGTATGTCGTCTGGTCAAGTATCTGCAGATCGTCGGCATGTTCGCCTCCACTTACATGATAGTTGTGATGACTGTTGACCGTTATCAGGCGATCTGTAACCCCATGGTGACTTTTCAGAGGCGACGCGCGCGTTGGAACCTGCCAGTGTGCGTCGCGTGGCTCGCGTCGTTCGTCTTCAGTGTCCCGCAGCTGTTTATTTTCTCCAGGGTTCAGATCGGCCCGGGTGTCTACGACTGCTGGGCACAGTTCATTCAGCCGTGGGGACCTAAAGCGTACGTGACGTGGACGACGCTGGTGATATTTCTGGTGCCCATCGTAACCGTGACGGTGTGCCAGGTGCGCATCTGCCGCGCGCTCCAGATCAACCTGTACCTGAAGACCCAGCAGCAGCACCATCATTCCTCCAGGACCAGCAACGTGGCGTCGGTGTCCAAGTCTCGAATTAAGACCGTGAAGATGACGGTGGTGATCGTGCTCGCCTACACCGTGTGCTGGGCTCCGTTCTTCACCGTTCAGCTGTGGTCTGTGTGGGACGCGGACGCTCCGACCGAGAGTAAGAGAACGTCTTCTAACAAACACTTTTGGGTGTTAATGCATTGCATTGTGCCATCTTAATCTAAATGTAAAAAGATGTGCTGTTGAGATATGCCTTTGCAAATATAATAGGGCTGATACAAGGTGACACAAGTTAAGTAATATTTCTGTTTAATATCGTCTCCTATAGGCTACTGACAAACATAACAAAATATAAAATAGTGGTTAAAGAAAGTTATTAAAAAGTGGAGACTTCTGAAAATTTCACATCCTGAATAAGGTCGTCAGATATTGCTTTATTTAAAGATTTATAGAGCTACATAATTGTAATCAGGGGGATTGTGATGTGACCTTGGAATGTTTATTCAACTGTAAAAAAAAGCAAACAATTAATTAAAAAATACAATTAAACCAAATGTGAATGGAAATTACACCATATTATAAAACGCTTAATACAAACTATTTAAGCATACACACACACACACATTTGTATATGATGTCACCTCTGTAACTCATTTCTGATTGGTTAAGCTAATGGCAGATGTTCCAATTTATGTTCCAACACTCCCCACTCTCCCCTACATGTTACCTGGAGCTATGCTCAATCAATATGAAATGTTTTGGGATATTTATTAAGAATGTGTGTCTAACCAGTGTGTGTGTATATATATATATATATTTATATTTCAGCTGCAACCTTCACCATCATCATGTTGCTGGCGAGCCTGAACAGTGTTGCCAATCCATGTATCTACCTGCTTTTCACTGTGAAGTTCCCCAAACTGTTGGGAGCTCTCCTGTGCATGAAGCATACAGACTTGAAGGGGTCGCTGCCTGAGGAGGCTACAATGGTCAGCTCTCTGTATCTGAGCATTAAAAGCCACTCTGACATAGAGTGAAAATGAAACAACACTAACAAACATGTTCAAATGCCATGAACGTGTACCATGTTAGTATTCTTTGAAGTACGAATGAGTACATGTAAATAGTACATGCATATGATTCAGTACTACTGTATATATCACAGTACCATGATATTACCATCTGATACATCACTGTACCGGTGCTATCACAGTACTTCTATGTAAAGAAAATCCCTGGCATCTCATTGTGAAGTGTATCAAACAGCTTTGGAGGTTTATGATTCTTTTTTTTTTTTTTACACTGAATTAATGTTAAACTCCAACTTTATCTCCCGCCGATCCTCCATTCCTTTCATTTGCCCCTAAAAATAATTTTTTTTCCAGAACTGGTAACAGTCACTTAGTGATTTTTATTATTTCTATTATTTAACTGTATAGAGCAAGCAGGAAAATAAATTGCTCACAGTGTGTGGTGTCCTAATCACCATCACAGTGGTGTACAAAATACAGTGTCTTTAAATATTGAGAAACACATCTGACTACTTGTGTGGTGGATATTGTTATGAAAATGCCTGTACATGTTCACTGTTCTGTGTGTCAATAAAGTGCTTTAACATTTGGCATCGGAATCAGTTTATGTTTGAAAGGTATGTTTTTAATGTAATTTGTGGCTTTGAGACTTGTGAGCTTCAGGTGAAAGATAAGACTAGCAACAAAAGTAAGCCATGTGTGGAGAGAAGCAAAGGCATAACTAACAGCATAAAAGAGCATGACAGTATTTCTTCAGCTGCTAAGACTACGTGACTACGTGTGGTCTGACCCCTTTAATTAAAGCTATAACCCACCCCCAGAGGATGAAAAATCATCGATTCTCACAATACAGGGGAGGGACATGTGTAGCAACCACCAATACATTACATACAAATTGGTCAGAAAGTCAGGAATCGGTCAAACGTTTGGGGTCAGAAAGATTTGTTTTGAGAGAAATGTTTTTCAAGAAGGCTCAGCATTTGTTCAATCAGAAATACAATAAAAAAAGAGAAAAAAGCAATACCTGATTTCAGTATATTATTATTATAATTTATTCAGTGTCACATGATCATTCAGAAATCATTCTAATATAATGATTTGTAGATCAAGAAACATTTATTATTATTATCAATGTTGAAAACAGTGAAAGAAGTTCTGCTGCTTACCCCCCAGGATTGTTTAAAGGGGTCATATGATGCTATTTTAAAGATCATTATTTTGTGTATTTGGTGTAACAGAATATGTTGACATGCTTCAATGTTCAAAAAACACATTATTTTTCAAATACTGTACATTATTGTAGGTCCTCTATGCCCCGCCTCTCTCAAACGCGTCATTTTCAACAAAGCCCCCTCCTTTGACAAGCGCAGTCTGCTCTGATTGGCCAGCTGAACCAGTGCATTGTGATTGGCCGAACTCCACTAGCACGCGTCGGAAATGTAATGCCCCTTACCATAATCGCAGCTTCAGCTTTCAAAATAAATATCAAGACAGTTAATAA